AGCGGGACCACCGCCGCCCCGCCGGGCTCGGCGCCCCTCTGGGACGCAGGGAAAGGCAAGGCGTCCGCGGCTGCGGGACGCGTGGGGGCGGCGCCGGGCCCGGCGGCCTCGTGGCTGACCCGCCGGGGCCCCGAAGGAGCTGGGGCGGCTTAGCAGGTGCTGTCCGCCCGCCCCGGGGCTCGGGAAGTGGGGGCCCCGGCAGCCGCCGAGCACGGGCAGTGTCCCTCGCTGGGTGCCCCTCGGGGCAGCCCGGCCGCGCCTGTGAGGCTGGCCGGGGCAAGGAGCGCCGGCCGCCAGCCGCTGCGGGCACGGGAGCGCGACTCTCCGCCTTGCTCCCTGCTGGAAACGGTTCGGTAGCGGCCCGATGCGGTGAGGGGGAGCAGCGGGCGCCGTGTGGCCTCGGAGCCGCTGCGCCCATCTGTCTTCCCCGGCGCTTCGGGGGGAGACGAGTCCCCCTGCAGCTGCCGGGCCAGTGCAGGGGCCTGAACTCATAAACGGGCACAGCTGGCGTGCGAGTTGAAAAATACTGATGTGGAATAGCTGTTCCCGTGTGAAGCAGAAACGGGTTCGTTTGTGTTCGTTCTCTAGCCCTGTAGAGAAGGGCTTGGGGGTATTGGTAGATGGGAAATTGGGTGTGAGCCGGCAGTGAGCACTCGCAGCCCAGAAAGCCAGCCGTATCCTGGGCTGCATCAAAAGCAGCGTGCCCAGCAGGTCGAGGGAGGTGATTCTCCCCCTCTACTCTGGCGAGACCCCTCCTGCAGTACTGCGTCCAGCTCTGGGGTCCTCAGCGCAGGAAGGACGTGGACCTGCTGGAGCGGGTCCAGAGAAGGGCCACAAAAATGATCTGAGGGATGGAGCCCCTCTCCTATGAGGAAAGGCTGAGAGAGTTGGGGTTCTTCAGCCTGCAGAACTGAAGGCTCCAGGGAGACCTTATTGCAGCTTTTCCGTACTTAAAGGGGGCTTATAAGAAAGACGGAGAGAGACTTTTTACCAGGGCCCGTAGCGACAGGACAAGGGCAATGGTTTTAAACTGAAAGAGGGTAGGTTTAGACTAGACACAAGGAAGAAATTTTCTCTGATGAGGGTGGTAAGACACTGGAAGAGGTTGCCCTGAGAAGTCGTGGATGCTCTGTCATTGGCTGAGTATGTGAGCAACCTGATCTAGTAGAAGATGTCCTTGTCCACGGCAGGGGGTTTGGACTAGATGATCTCTTCCAACCCAAACCATTCTGTGCTTCTACGGTTATAATAACTGACAAAACACTACAAAACAGCACACGGTGGAAATGAAGCCACATTCTGTGAATAGTACATATCTTAATTTAACTTTGTTGAATACAGTGTGAGTGAGCTGAGAGGTTGATATGATGGATTTAGGTCTGGAATTCAAAACTGGCGATTGAGGCTTGGTTGCATTTGTGTTGCTGGCATGTGGGCATGTCAGTTGTAGATCTCGGTGCCAGCAGCATCTTCAGATGTTGCTAGCAACTAGGGACTAATTTTCAGTCTTTTTTTAAGCATTCCCTTGCCTCATGGAGAACTGTAGCCTGCTGCAGCTGGGAATGTCTGTCCTCTCAGGACGGTGGTGATGTGGATCCCTTCCTGCAGGACTAAGGTGACTGGAGGTTACTGTTGAGGTACAGGCTGTTACAGGAACTGCTGATGAAACACTCTGCCCGGGAGTTAGTGGATCAGCAAGGGTGTCCTGCATACTACTACACAGGAGAACTTAGTACTGCATGTAAATACTAGAACTGGAGTTTAAGTTTTGTGATAAGGGGTCTGTGTAAGTAAAAGCATCTTAATAAATGGGAGCATTTACTTTTGGGAGTAAAGCTGTCATTTTTACTTATGGATGAAAGCATCAGCGTGCTCTAACTCCTCATGTGTTGGCTTCACAAACTTGCTCAGACGTGCCCAGAGTCAGTTTGAGTTGGCCAGCCCAGACCTAGCAGGCAAGCTGTGGAGCTAGAGGGCTTGGTGCTGGCTCATTGTCAGGATACTTAACTCAGCTTCTCAGGCAGGCTTTTACAGCTGCCTGGTGCTCTGGGCTACTCTTGGGGATGAAATACTGGTGCAGACTTAAGGCAAGTATGTCTACATATACTATGGTGTTAGACCTACCGTTACTTGATTTTTGCCTTAACTTTCCTGAGAACTTGGCAGCTAAACCCTTTGTGAATTAACTTTGTTTTTACATAATGATACATAAGTATATTATCTACCTGGAAAAACAAAGTAAATTACTTCCAACTTTAAAATTAAATATCTGTACTTGGATGAAAGAATTCCTTTTATTCTACGCAAACTACAAAGTTTGAAACCTTTCCAGAAATGAAAGCAGAATCTTACAATTTCAGTTTTTGGTGTAATTGCATAGCATCAACAGAAAGGCCTAACAACGTTCCCTCTCTTCTGTAAACTTAGTTTTGCTAAACTTGGCCATTCCAGATACAGCATGGAGACCCTGACAGAGGCTGAGATGTGGGCCACTGCGTGGTGAGCATCACTAGATGCCTGGCACTGCCACATAATTTAGCATAAAATTGTTCCCAGGGCCTGAGACCTCAAGCAGGTGCCCTTACTTCATGTTCCTGAAACCTGCTCCACCAGCAGGGGAGTCTGCTCTGGGTTTTTCTGTTTCTTTGGAAGCTTCTGTAACCCTCCTGCCTGTTGAATCATCCTCGCCCACTGAACCTTGGTACATATTCCTTCTTCCCTCCCAGCGATCTACTTTTTCACTTGGCCTCCCTCTTTCCGTGCCCCATTTCCCTGTGTTTTCTGTTCACTGTGTTATTGCATAGCCCTTAGTGCATGCTGTTGTACCCGTGTCAGTGTTCCCTCACTGCAGCAGCTGCCTTGTCTGTAGGTCCTGCTAAAGCTTTAGTCTGGTTACTGTACAGCTATGTAGACACTGGGTTTACAATGTGTAGGCCAGCTTGAAAGGAAAGTTCACCTTAACACACACCACACCAGCCACTGTGTTTAACTGGTTGGGTTCTGCACTTGAAATGCCATACATCCTCCTCCATTGTGCTCTGGCTGGAAAGTCATTGGGAAGTCTTCACTGTGTTTCTTTTTCCTAATGTTAATGCATTTCAAGCAAGTGCAATAGGGTACAAGTTTCTGATCTTGTCCCCTCTCTCCACCCCATTCTGCATGTTGCCATTAAATCTCTTAAAGCTCAGTTAATTTTTTAATAATTTGCAGCTCTTGCTACAGAAGACCAGTCTACCACAGGTTCTTTGTGTGGGTAGGTTCCTGCATTTGTAAAGATCTGTTGTGTGACCATTGGATTTCGTTGTATGTTTTTTAGTATAAATTCTGCTGTGGGATTTAAGCTTCAGAGAGCAACGGCTCCTAGTAGATCCCTTCGGAGTTTGCTGAGGTTTGAGAGAGGATTGGAGGCCTGCTGTGGGTTTTCTTTTTTCTGCTGCTTGGAGCAAATAGTGAGCATCTGAAAGCAGAGCTGTTCCCAGTATACTCTGATATCCCACTGGATAAGGCACGAGGAGCTGCTCTGGGCCTGTGAGCTGTTGAGGTTGTGTTACTGGTTGACTGTTTTGGTTCTCATTCCCTTGAACAGGAACATGCCTAAGAAAGGAGGGAAGCATGCTGAAATGGGAAAAGAAATGCAGGCACAGTGTAAACGAGCAAAGGTGGAAGAAGCTTGCTCTCTGTCAGTCATGAATTTTGAGAACCCAGACAGCCTCTTCAGAAGCTTCATCTCTCCCATCAAACAAGAGATGTTTTTCAGGGAGTATTGGGAGCAAAAGCCACTTCTTGTTCAGAGAAATGATCCCCTGCTGGCTGCTTACTACCAGTCCCTATTCCAGTTATCAGATTTGAAGGAACTGTGCAGCCAGGGTCTGTACTATGGGCAAGATATAAATATCTGCAGATGTGTGAATGGAAAAAAGAAAGTTTTAAATAAAGAAGGCAAAGTGAATTACATGCAGCTGAAGAAGGATTTTGACCAGAAAAAGGCAACAATACAGTTTCATCAGCCCCAGAGATTTAAGGTTGGATTGTTTCATTGAATATAATTAATGCATGCTTTATAATGTGGTATACTTTGCTTGAGTTGTACTAGACATAGCTTCATCTCTGTCCCCAGTAAATCCAGGGGAAGTAGCTGACATCAGTGACGTGCTGAAACCTATGCATGAACTGTATTAATTAAAACATGGTTTATACTTTTGCATTGCCCATCATGTTTCAGTGCTATGCAGTGAGAACAAAATCTGATTCATGCTATAATATTAGGTATTTTTTTAAAAAAATCGCTTTGTCACATGAAAGTTTAGAAAAAAGTAAATGCACAAAATTGATGATTATGCATCTGTGTCTGCTTAAATTATCCCTTTTGACCGACTGTTTCCTTATGCAAATAGGGGCTTTTGAACCACTTTCCTTTAATGGAGGGCAGGGTGTGAAACCATGTAAAGTATTTCCAGGATACTCCACCATTCTTGCTAATGGACTGGCTTTGAATTGCACCATGGAAGTATACCACCTTGTTTTAGCTGACTGTCCTCTCTTGTTCTTTTTGATGCCTTTGCAATCTTCGTGTATAAGAATGAGGCAGTGGTGCCTGCACGGTTGTGTAAAGGACTCGGATACTTGTAGGTACTTGGATTTAGGTAGTCCTTTTTTTGTCCCATGGTGTCAACACAATTTAATTGTGTAATGGTCCTTAAGGACTCAAAATACACAGCTGAGTCCCAAGTATAGTGTCGCTGGCTGTTCTCAGTTTGAGTGTGGCTGTAATGGCCAGCGGCAGGGGCATCTACAGGTTGAAATGTTACATGGCTTCAGCTGAAATCTAGAGCTGGAGCTGAACCTACATAAATTCTGGTTGAAGTTGCACTTGTGCAGGCCTGGTAGTTGGCATCTTCTGATATGAGAGTCATCCCTTTGGTGCACTGTCTGTTACATGTTAGATGTGGATAAGTAAAGTTTGTTCTCGAATACGCCCAAACAGTTGGAGTCACTGGAAAAAGGGCTCTAATCTTTGTACGCTTTCTTTGATGCTAGCCCATATAATGCAAGTCCTGCATGTGTTTATTGTCTTAAGATGTTTTGCTGTTCCTGAGATGATGGGTGGTTTATTTTCCTCTGTCTAGCCTTGTTTGTTTTTGCAACCTAAAAATGGTACAGGGAAGAGAACAAACATCAATGCTATGTTGGTAGCACCAGACTTCTTGGCTTACCGATTACCTTCATGGCAGATCTCCTTTGCATCCACAGTGCTCGCTTTCAGGAGAAACACTCATACAGAGCATCTGCTTTCCCAGCCTCTGTCTGCCTGTGGGGATGTGATCATTCTCAAGAAGAACCTCCCAAGTGATGGGGAGGCTGTGGGCTGGATGGCAGCCTGGCTTGGCTGAGCTCTTCAGTAGTAACAGCATCATTTCTTTTTAAAGGAGGAGCTGTGGAGGATTCAGGAGAAGCTGGAGTGCTACTTCGGGTCTCTGGTTGGGTCGAATGTTTACATTACTCCCCAGGGATCGCAGGGCCTTCCCCCTCACTACGATGATGTTGAGGTAGGACAGCACAACCTTGTCTCTGAAACTGTGTGTGGGCTTTCACTAGTGGGAGTGGATACCTGTATGTGCGCTTTTTACAGGCCCCCCCCCCCCAAATAACTTACTATAGAAAAATGTTTTTTCCACTGAAAACTTACAGTAATTAGTTGCAAGTGTGTCTTTATAGTCCTTTTTCTTCTATAATTTTACTGAAGAGGTACTAATAGTAATATCTAATGGTAATATCATGTAAACTGTGCTTTCCAGACTTGGTATTTTCATTAGATGAAATGAGAATTTGTTTTCCCAGCTGCAGAAGCTTTCTAGCACCTTTTTTCATATTCACTTCATTCAGACCCCCAAGAATCTAGAAGTCCTTTTTCTTCGGCTGGACAGTGAAAGCAGACTGGTTGTGCTGGTTCCCATTTGTTGGTCCTACTGTTTTCAAAAAGTTACTGCTATGATGAAGTCCTGTGGTCAAAATGCGTTTTAATTTAGCTTCTAAAAGAAACATTCAAATAGATGCTGCATTAAGAAAAAGTTGGGCTATCCCACTTAAACCAAAACAAAAACCCCCATCCTACATGTAGTTTTTGCTTTTTATTATTTTAATTTCCATTAAATACACCTGGAGTTTCATTTTTATTATGCTTGTTCAGCAGCCCCACAACCTGCATCTTCTGGTGTATGTCATCAGCCTCCAGCTCACAGCATCCCCTAGATGTTTCTGATGGTCTGTTTGTCAGTGAATGGTGATAAGAACTCTCTCACTTGATATTTTGAGTATCTGTGTGGCAGACATTACTTTTGAGTTAGTTGTCTAGCACTTATTTAAGTGACTGGAGAGAAATGGGGATTTCCAAATGGCTACAGATCACACTTCACAGCTCTCCTCTGTTGTCTCTAAGTACAGCCTAAAGAAATAGTTCAAATGTAAATTTCTGCATTGTAGACGTCTAAAAAGTAATGTGAGAGGAATCCTTTTTGCCATGCTGTGGAGTAGCTGAGAGCAGTGAAATCTATTTCTTCCATTGTCACAAAAGCAAGCCGTGTTGCTTCTGTTTGCTTTCTGTCCCTGATTTCTGGCATGGTTCCACAGACTTTCCAAGTAAGAAGATGACTTAAAATTTCTGATCAGTTGGATGTGTGAGGGGCAGGAATCCTTTCTTATGCATTTGGATTTATGGTCTTTTGCAGGTGTTTATCCTTCAGCTAGAAGGCGAGAAGCATTGGCGACTCTATAAACCAACAGTACATTTAGCTCGTGAATATAATGTTGAATCAGAAGATAGGATTGGGAATCCTACACACGAATTCATATTAAAGGTATTATAATTGAATTGCTTTATGTGGTCTGGGCTATGGTTGCCAGAAAAGTAGTCATGTTTAATTAAAATGGTCCATTTCTTGAAGACAGTATTCTGAATGATCATGGTTGTGAAATTGAGGGGAGGGTTGGTGCACAAAACACTGTGAGCACGAGAAATTTGGGTGATAGTTGTCTAACGTATCATTTTTCAAAGGTATCCTTTGCTCTAGTATTTAAATAATGGACGAAGAAATAAGTTATTTCTGGAAATTCTCCAATATTCTCCAAGTTGGGCACCCTGACTCCTGGATCTTATTTGTGGAGTCATGTGCAGAAAACCCATTTGGTTTATATATATGGTTATGAAACATTGTAATGCTTTTACACGCTATCTGTAATCAATCAGGCTAATCCTTCTATGCACTAAGACTTACTGCTTTACTGAAGGTTGTCACTGTTCTGGTGAATTAGAGGTAAATATTTATCCTTGGCTGATAAACAAAAGTATGAACTAAACCCCATATTAACTTGCCGTATTAATTGTTTTTTTTTTTTCTTTTTCCAAACCTGAAAATCAAGTGTTTGGCTAGTTTTTGTGATTTGGAATAAAAAGAGCATTTCATGAAGATTAGTGAATGCAGCCCCTTTGACAGCAGGGCATCTGGTACTTGTCCCATCCTTTTTTACATGCTTGTGCTTTTGAAGCATGTTATTTATCCTGGAGACAGCGCTGCTCTGCATTGGAAGGCTCCTTAGTTTCCCTGCCTTGTGGCCTGTCATAGGGCCTCTCTCTGCAAGGTCTCTGCTCTTCCTGGTGTTCAGATCTGCTTTTGGGTGTAGGTAATTCAGGAATAGTATGACACATTGGGTATGATACTGACATCATCAGCTGTGTAGTTTGACAGAGGGTAATATTCAATTGTCATGATGTATTGGGTGATGCAAAGTCTAGTAAATTACAGTTCCCTTCTTAATTTCTGGAACATTTTGGGCCAGACTTCAATGGCTTTGATGTATTCCATAAGCCATTTTACTGACACTAGTGGAGTGAAAATACTGGCCTCTGAAAAGGGCTTAAAAATGATTTAAGTTTTTAATTTATTTTTCTTCTGTTTGATGTTCTTCACTTCTTGTGACCCATTTCTTCCAGGTGGCCGCTGTCAGATTTTGGTTGTCTGTCTGGAGCTGTCTCTTGACAGGGATGCTGTCAGATGACTCTGATTTCCTCCCTAAACATCTTTCTAGAATCTTTCCTTTCTTCTTTTTTGTGTTTCTGTCTGCAGTCTGCCATCCCTGGGCATTTTAGAACAAATGGACCAGTTAGAGACTGTATTGGTGGTGTTCTCCCTTCCTACCAAAAACTGGTAGCTGACTGAGAGCAAAGGCACGCTGGTTTGTGTATAAGGTCCCAAGCTGCAGTGTGTTTTGGTGACACTGCAACAGGCTGTGGCCATGGCTGGTTTGTTACTGATGTCAAGCACAGAGGTTATTTGGTAGCTGGCTATCTAGCTGCCTTCATGTATGATTCTTCCATTTAATTTGCTGGTACTTCTCCTTGTCTGCCCCTCTTTCCTCCATTTCAGAAGTAAGAAGGCAGCAAAGTGATCAGATCTGCACTATCTCTTGTCAAATGCTCTGTCCTGCCCCAATCTGTGTTGCCACCTGGAGTCTGTGAAGATTCTGATTCTTTTAATTGAAGAGTGTTGTGCTTGCTGACTCATGTCAATGACATTGATGAGACTACCCAGCAGATAAGATGAATAAGAGTTGGACTTTGCAGTGAAGACTGCCTTGAAAAATTGTGGTCCCAGCTTCTTAGTGGTAGGCATGGGGTGCTACAGCATGAAATAATTTCTTTTGCGGACTAGTTTGTCATCACTCTGTTAGGTGTTTGGGGCTCTTACCCTTCCGCTATGCAACCCTTCCTCCAGTTTGTTTTCTTGCTGGGGATGTGAAATATAGTAAATGAAGAGAATTCGAAGTGCTCTTAGTTGGTTAGTGTAGTTCCTATACTGGTAAGGCACGCAGTTTTTTAATGGCAGAGAGGGGCTTGCTTCAGAACAAATAAATCGTACATAGCTGATCTATGATGCTCTACAGAGTGTTATAAATGGATGAAGAGACAGGATCTTGCCAAGTCCTGTGAAGCCTCGTAATCTAAAGAGAACTTAAAATTCAGTGAGAAATCAAGTAGTATTCACTTTAAATATATCTGTGTTAGACAGTTCGGTAGGCTCTTAGAAGTAGGTGATGTAACCAAATTTAAGGAATGGTAAAATTAAAATGGAATCAAATTTCATCATTGTTGCTTTATGAATTTTCTCTTTAACTGTGCTATCCAACTATATAGATGTTTCTAGGAGAAGCCATAAGTAAACTGGTTTTCCTCCTTGGAGGGAATTTCATGTGCTTTTTACTTCTCTCTTATCTTGACTTGCCTAATCTAAATTTTTATCAGTGTGGAGATTTAATTTAGATAGGTGAGAAGAAAGATAGGGAGGAGGAAGGTTGTAATTGTTTTTTAAGTGTTTTAACTGAAAATTTCAGACAACAGTATTGTAACAGATCAGCATCTTTATAGAATATTTGGCTTTTCTTGTGGAGTACTGGCCTTTTCTTTTGACATGATCTAACCAAATTCACATTGCAGTGCTCCTCTGCTAGCCCGCTTTATTGTCAGCGGGTTCATCTCAGCTGCTTCTTTGTCCTCTTTATGCAGCTGAGTTGCAGTGTGCATGTTCTGTAATGTTAAAAGCTTGCTTTGTGTTTTCAGACAGGTGTGTAGTAAATACTGACAGTAAGTTGGAAAGTTTAAGGTATTGGACATCTGGCTTAGAGTGCTTTATTTTATGTTATTAAAGTGTACAATGGAGGATCTCTCTATTTTGTGATTTTAAAAAAGATACGTTGTCAGTCTGTCTGCTCAGAGAGTATTTTCTCTATTTTGACTACAATAAGGTTTGACCAGGTGCCCTAAATATATCAATTCTCTTTCATTTTCTTGCAGCCAGGTGACTTACTGTATTTCCCAAGAGGGACTATTCACCAAGCTGACACTCCACTTGGGATCTCCTATTCTACACATGTGACCATCAGTACCTACCAAAACAAGTAATTACTCTTTACTTTTTGTTTGTTTGTTTAGCTTTTCTGAAAATGGCTTTCCTCTGCCAGATGATGTGTGTGAATAGTACAGACCTGAAACCAGTGTTTCAAAGAAGTGATGTCCTGTTTCTTAAAAAAAAAACAAAAACCCCCACCTTGTAATGAGCTCTGCTTAGCTCTTTTCTGTGTTCATTCTTTTTAGCCCTTGTGTGGTTTGTTTTTCTGTGAGTAATACAGGGATAGGGCATGTCACCTCCCCCCCCCTCCCCAAGATGTGGTGACATGGAATGTATGTAGGCACCCCACTATTATATATGTGACCTGCTGTTAGTAACAGAATCTAAGCTAGTGTTCAGGTAGCAGCAATTAAAGTTTTGGGGTTTGGGGGAAGGAGGGGAGCAAGACCCTTGTTTGAAGCAGCCTGTTTACCAGGTTTTCATGCAGCAAGCTTGATTGATTGCTTTTTAATTGGTTATTTTACTATTTACCAGCTGTGGACTTTAATGTGGAAGATAATGTTACAACTGTTCTGACAGACTTGTTGCAAATTCTTCCTATGCAAATATTTTCTACTTATCTGTGTTTTTCATCTCCTAACCCATGCATGCAAGTCAGATTTCCTTTGACACACATCTGATCCTTGTGCCCACTGAAAGAAACGTTGTCATCACGCAGGGAAATGCTGCTGCCACCTAATCAGCCTCTCAGATGCTGGATTTGGAGTCATTGGCCTGAGTTCAGTACTGCTGGTAACTCTGTGTAGCAGACAGTGGAACACTTGAGTGGAGATGATAAAAAAAATCTAAATGAGACTATAACAAGTCATACTTTTTCTTTTTTTTTTTTTTTTTTTTTTTACTTGAAGTAGTGTCTAGAGATCAGTGCTGAGAGAGAGCAAGAGCAGAGGGTGAAGTGTATGCTGGAGGACAGGCCCTGCTCTGCTGCCTGCCCTATTTGGGTGGGATTCTGCTGGCAGCCTTGGATGCTGGACACTTGCCCTGGTTGTTTGCCCATTAAACCAGCTCGTGAGGAGGTGGTAGGGAGAGAGGTCACACATGGACAGGACAGCACTTCTGCATGAGTCAACTTGATGGGGTTGACTCAAGCTAGGCAAAGAAGGTGCAGGCAGTAGTCCTCCCTCCCCTCCTCTAGTTTATTCTTACAACTGGGGAACAGAAGCACAGAGATCAAAGGTCATTTTTTTTTTTTTTTATAGTATGTAGGCTAAGAATGGGGATTTAACACAAAACAACACACCTACAAGGTACCTGTTGGGTATCATTAAAAGCCCTGTAGAAATATGCAGGGGTCTTGTTCCTGGGGTCTTAATTAAGTTTGTAGCAAAGCTAAAAACTGATGCTGTGTTGGATTTGATAACCCTCTGTACATGTCCTCCTTCAATGTAAGTGTCTTAAAAGCATGCTAAATGACACGACTCCCTGCCCTTCATTTGTGCAATGAGGCCGTATGTGTGTACAGTTGGATAATAATGGCCCTAGTAGGAATGTCTTCATTCATTGAGGTCATCTTTAAGCTGAATCCGCTGGTAAATGGCAAGCACCCGAATCAGAACAAACTGGACCCTTCTCAAGCCAGTTCTTTCCCTCTGTAGGAGTGCCACTGACCTGTAGGTAGTGAGGACACACACACAATTGAGATGAGAGTGAGCTATTGCATGAGACTACAGAGTGGTAATGGAAGGGCCAAAGGTACAAAGCAGATTTGGAATTGGACCACTATGTTTCCAGCCCTTGACATCAGTTAAGATGTCTGGTTTATTTCAGTGCAGCTATTTTAGTAATTTTTTTTTTTTTCTTCTTGTCCTTCAGCTCTTGGGGAGATTTCTTACTGGATGCAATTCCTGGCCTTGTGTTTGATTCAGCAAAAGAAGATGTGGTGCTGCGGACAAGCATACCAAGGCAACTGCTTATGGTAAATAGGTGGGACTGAGGGAAGAATAGTGCCTTCAGATGAAACTTCAGCACTGAGGCAAGCATGTATCTTGTTGATCTGCTCTGAAAGCTCAGTCTTGTCTAGCAGCACAACTGCTTTTGAAGTCTTCAGGATGACTGTTCTGAGGTTTGTGCCATCTGAAGCTTTGCCTAGTTCATAGCACTGCCTTTCTTTCATATCAGTGTCCTTGTATCTTGTTTCCTTTATAAAATCAATGGTATTTGCTTTGGAGCTGTCAGACAGGCATAGTTCCTGTCAGGCCAAGCTTTTGCATCTTTAAAAGTTAGCAAAACTGTAAATTGTTCTGTGACCACTTAATGGTAGTCCAGTTGTGCTGCTCATCAGCTCATCAGCATGCAGAAGGAACAAGTCTCTCTTTCAACTACACTTGCAAGTCCTTTAGCATTGCAGGTAGCCCTGGAGTGAGGGAAAGTGAGCATTGGCTTTGGTGCCTGAACGGCTGGTGGGGAATGTGTGAAAGAAACAAAATTTGTTGTTTTGGGAGTAAATGTTACCCTTTGCAAAGATAAAAGAGGAGTGTCCAGATTTTCAGTGCATTACTGCACCTCTTTAGGCTAGGCTGTTTAGCTTGAATTCATGTGAGAGCAACTCTGTGTGAATATTTAGCAGGTGGATACAGCTGACTCGACAAAAAAACTGAGTAGCCTTTTGAGAAGGCTTGCAGACCGTCTGGAAAACACCAGAGAACTGAGGTCATCTGACATGAAGAAGGATTTCATTATGAACCGGTTGCCACCTTGGTTGGGATGTGACTCTCATCCTTTGACTCCAGGTAGATTTTGAAGTTAACCAAAACTGGCTGATGTGATCATAGAGCTGTTGCTAACTCTGCCAAGAGGCAGACTTTGGTATTTTATGGTAGGCAAAGATTATAGTTTAGCATCAGCTTCACGTTGTGCTGGGCTATACATGTGCATTTGCACACCTCAGTTGGTCAGTTCCCTGTATCTACTGGAAGAAATGACATGTCTCTCTCAGAGTGAAATAAAGGTTATCCTAGACTGAAATTGGCAGCTTTAATAAACTACTGTGTACTGAGAACGTTTAACTGGTAGAATTTGTCCTTGTGCTCTAGCTTGCTATCACAGCTATTTGTAGGCTGTAAAGGTGAGAGAATTGAAAAATCTCCCCCCCGCCCCGTTTGAGAACATGTGGGTGTTGAAACACAGGTTAACAAAAAATCCAGCCACAAGAGAGTGAGCAGAGCACAGAGGGCTCAATCTGCACTGTTCATCTGGTTTCCTTCCTTTCTAATGGAGAATTTATTTTTCTTAGGTGGGAAACTGCCAAAAATAGATAGCAAAATCAGACTGCAGTTTAGAGATCATGTTATCATTACAGTGGAACCAGATCAAGAGAATTCTGTAAGTATAATGAAGCCACCCTTGTATGCTTGGGGTGGGGTGGGGAGTGCGAGGTATGTGAGTTGTTGCTCTGTTGTACTGGTCTAAAAGGGCTGTGCAGTTATACTTAGTTGGATCCTGCATCCCATTAGGGTTTGTCAGGAGATCACGGGGGGTGGTTGTCAAGCAGTAATAGGGCACATTCTTGCCTCCTGGAGGAGAGCTGCAGAACTAAATTTAGTCCGTGATTCTGCACGGTAGGTGCATAGCTTTTATCTGAGGTTGGATGGGATAGATCATTACAGCTGCTAAATGGCCTCTATAGCTCTTGATAATGGATTTTTTTTTTTTTTATTCTTTGTATTTAAGTGCATGAATAAGTTATAAAAATAGGTTCCCTCAAGAGAAGGAATTCTCTTTGTTGCAGCTGCTGCTGACTGTGGTTACATTTAGTCTTCACTTCTGAGTTATCTTTGTACCTAAGTGACTGCCAGTGGAACAACTTAGTAGTGCCACAAAATAGATGCTGGCATCTTGGGTTATTGTGTTCAGACTACTACTTCTCTGTGAAGGTTTATTAGTATGAAATTGTAGAATTGCTTTTTGTTGTCTTAATTAAAAAAAAAAAAAAAGAGGGGATGGGACAGACTATCTGTCTTGTACAATTTTCTTTTTTATGAGTAAATGTTTCCAGGAAAAAAATTCTGTACCTTTCTGATTTTTCTCCTCCATTTTGTTTGTGTCCGTATTGCTGCGAGACCGTGTAGGGTTTGGGAACTTTTTTTTTTGCAATTTTTTGCTGCCTCGCCTTCTGATGTCATACAGATAAACCCCGAATGACAGCACACGTGAAAGACTTTTGTCCACAAATTTAGTGCGAGACCTGCCCACAGAGCTCTGAATTGGTTTGCACAGCTTTGACAAAGAAATGATAACAAACAGGCATGTGATTTTTAAGAGACAGATAAGTATCAGAATGGAAATTTAGGGATGCATGCTTCTTCATTAAGACCTTCTAGGAGGTGCACCTTAAATAACATGTTTTCTATACAGCATCAGTCTTGTGAGTTTAGTAGAGGCAGTATTAAGGCAGAAAATTATAGGTTATAAATAAATTTTCGAAGCTGTTTTGGAGACTGCCTTTCTGCTTTAGTAGATGGCTGCTGGATCATTCAGTTAGGAAGGCAAATTGCTTTCATTCGATATAACAGTGGACTCCAGAATGAAGGAGCTAACACTTGTCACTTGAGTGAGATGAATTTGAGGGTGTGGATCATATGTAACTGTTTTCTTCCTGCTGTCTTTTAGGATGAAATTCGCAGAGATATGGTTTATGTTTATCATTCTTTAAAGAACAGGAGAGAAACTCACATGATGGGGAGAGAAGATGATACTACTAGTGAGGAAGGCACATCACAGGTTTGTTCCTACAAACACACACCAAAAGCTACATTGCCACAGGGGATTTTGCTGTGTTAGCTGAGCTTGACCGAGATGGTAGCAGGGGCCTGGATTCTGCTGTATGCCTCAGCACCCAAAGCATTTCTGCCCATCTCCCAAGTACCCAGATGAGCTGAGGCTGCAACACAGTTAATAGTTAGAACCAAGTAATGCAATCTCATGCTTAATTAAATGTTTGAGATGTTAACAGGATTTCTTCTTATGTCTTAGCTAGCAGAGCTGCTGGAGTGGCTAGAAGTATCTCTTACTTCTGTGTCCTTTAGCATATCATTTATTATTAAGGCTACTGGATGTGCTAGCACATGTTCAGTAGTAGCAGGGATCACTGCACCTGATGCACCATGTTTATGCCACGTTGAACCTGTGTTAGATTCTGTATCCACTGGAACATGCTGCAAGATAAGGGTGTCTGTTTTACGGTGGGGGGTGGGTCAGCATTGGGAGTAGAGTTAACTCTTTTACTGAAATGTAAGGAGGGAACTTTTGGTATTGTTAGTAAGGCTGCAGATGGTTCATCTCTGTGTACAACGTGCTTTTGGTCGAATCATAAATAGTCCTGAAGAGTGGTTGTGAGGTTTGGAACGTTGTGTTCCACTTCCTGATAGCAAGATGCTCTATCTTAGGTCTGTGACCTGAAACACTTGAATACAGGTCTGCACAAATTCACTGTAGAGGCAAAACAGAACACAGCCTGTTCTTGTCTCAGTAATTACAGCAAGGCTTTTTGCCTGGCATTTATTTACCTTTTAAGGTAAATCTCATTGGTCCTCTAGAGCAGAGAATAGGGGGTAGCTGAGGTTGTACACTGGCACCTGTACAATATACCTTCCTGTCCTTAAAGACTCCAGCTGTGGTAATGGATGTTCTCTGTGGTTCTGTCAATGTCCAAGCACTGCATGTGGCAGATCAAAAAAACCAATAGCCTTCCAAAAAACAACAGGTAGTGTTAGGCAAGAGTATAAATTTAAAGCTCTTTTATTCTTCAGTGTGGAAAGCACATGAGGAAGCCATGCACTGTCAGCCACCCTACCTCATAAGGTGTGCTAGAACATGTAAGAGATGTCACCTGTTTTTCTATTAACAAAGGTGGCAGGACAATACTGCATCTTCTGGAGGATGCTCTCAGAAATACCAGTGTGGTGGGGGAAGGGAGCACATAGCTGGTGATCAGTACCTGTAGTCTAACACACACTGCTGTATAATAACAAACACTGCACTTACCTGAAGGATTTTTTTTTTCCCACCCCCCCCAGCAGACTCATGGACTGCGGTTTCCTTTGTCATACTTGGATGCACTGAAGCAGATTTGGAGTAGCAGCACTGTTAATGTTAAAGAGCTTAACCTTATCTCAGATGAGGAGAAAGAAAACCTTGTCTTGTCCCTATGGACTGAATGTCTAATTGAAGTTATTTGATGCTTTTGTGAATTAGCTGCTCCTGTAAGTAGTATTTCTGGCCATTAAGAATCTCTTGAGAGAAAGGCTTATTAAATTACTTTTTTATCTATCCAGCCTTTGGTTTTTATTGCTGTCTAACAAAGCATTGCAATATATATACTTTGCTACTTTCTAGTTCAAATGTTACTTTTCTTTCCTTAGCTTTGGGAAAATGGGCATTGGGAAAAACAGGTAAGCTGCTTATCATCCAGTGAGCCACAGCTCCATGTCTGTGGATGGATGAAGTCACCCATAGTAACACCAATGCTGTGGTATTCCCTTTCCTCTGGATCTATGCCTTGATGTGGAGGACATCTAAAGGTATACACATGGAGCAGGCTCGAGGACCTCAGGCAAAACCCAGTAACTTACTTTTTCATTTGTAAAATTCACCAGCAAGAAAACACATTTGTTCACCCTGAGAGAACAAAAGCTTCTTAGTAAAAGCTGTGTATTTTGTTTCCCAAAGGGGTAAGACTTTGCCCAAGAAAACCCTCCTTTCCTCTCAGATGCTGCCACCACTGGAATAAACAAACAATAGTATTTAACCTCTACCTCTCCCAGCACCAATATTTAATGTGAAAGTAACCCAAACCTGGAAGTGGAATCTGTATCTTCAATCCTCCCTTGAGTAGGTTTTGATGGGAGTAGTGCAGTTATTTTAATACTTGAACATTGATGTTTAATATGCAAACTAATGTAACAGCGCAGTCACCTATTTAATATAGTTATCCCTTTCTTTGAAAGGAAATATTTTACAGGAGTGTGCTTGTTGTATTTAGTTTGTTTAAAAAGAAATGAGCAAGCAAAATGTTCCTCCTAAAAAAACCAAGTTTTATACAATTAAAATATACATGCTTAGCATTTCACATTCAAGATCTCTTAAGTACAAAAGCCTGCTTTGCTTCGTTACGTAACACTGACACACCAAATATGATTTAGTCATTCTAGGTTTAAAAGACTAGAACTTTTTACACAGGCTTTTAAAATTTCATATGGAAAGCAAGTCACATGTAGCACACTTGATATACTGGCTTACATAAAAAAATCTAAAGTAGTGCTTTATTTGGAAAAATATATACATATATTTGAAGATTTAAACAGCAGATTTATGATAATTTTAGAATGTAAAAGAGTAAGTGCAAGTAGGTAGTTTTTTTTTTAAATAGTACTATATAGAACTATATAGAACTCCATTTCATACAAAAATAGACATCCATATATTTTACTTCTGTGGCAAACTTAGGGTTATGTGATTTTATTTGTTTGGGGATTAATCCTGTTTGAATGCACAACTGGAATAGTTACAGCTTTTGGAAACTAAAATATCATCTTTAGCGAACCTAAACCTCTTTAAATAGTTATAGAAATACATACCCTGAATATACAAATAAGGAAGAAAAATATTACATTTTCAATGAAGTAGATTAATTTAGTGATGCTGAAATCAAATGAAGTTACCAGTGACCTAAGGGACTTCTCTTCCATGTCAGTTGTTCACAGCCCTACAACTGTCTGCAGTTCCTTCTGTAATTTTCAGTGTTGAGCCAGGAACATGCTTTTAAAGCCTGCAACAACTGCAGTCCAGTAAGGTACTTGGCTCTATCTGCCTCAAGTGCTAGCTAGTAGGCTGGTTGCATAGTGCTGAAATTGAGAAGAGCACCAGCAGGCCAAGGTCCAGACCATTAGCTGAAGTCCTTATCCTTTGGCCCAAGATGTACATGTTGTTGATGAGATGAGCCACAGTTATGCTGTTCTTTTACCGTTAGGCAAGTGTTGAAATGCAGGCTGCTAGCACCTTTGAAAATACATACTAGGGAGAATGGTTTTCTAAAGGAAGACATGGTTTCAAGACCAGATTACATTGTATTAAATTAATCTATATACATCAAAACAAAATACAGGTGGAGTTAAAATCATTACTGCTCTAAATGCAGCTAGCCCTTGTAGAAGTCTAGCCTGACCCAGGACTGTATTCTCTTTTGATACATGCATACAGGGCTCTGTGCTAAAGGTGATCTTCAGTGACAACCTGGAAACCGGCCATGGGGTCAGCAAACCCAGTTCCTGAATCTGGAAATTTGGTACCATTAAAACAAATGGAGACAATGGCCTACCAGTAACATTAGGGGGGTGAAAGTCAGGCTTTTGCTATTGCCTCATTTCACATGCTGAGCTGGTGATTCCAATTCAGAGTTGTCTTTTTGAACAAAATAAATCATATTTTAGCAAGATATGATTTGAGCTTCAGGATCGCTTGGAGCCTAAATAGTTTCACTTAGGACATAAAAGTCCCACTCAACCTCCTTCAGGCTCATCAAGTGCATTCATTCTTCAGTGAGCTTCTGTCAGTTTGAGAGGAAGGTGAAGACAACATTTCTAAAGAGCCCCCCCCATATTGTCTTGTAGTTCATATCCTGCAAAACTGATGTCTAGCCTTTGCATTTACTTCTAATACTTCAGATGAAGAGTAATAGTGACTTTCATAGGAGCGGTCTCTAAAGAATCAGCTTCCCATCTTCCATTTGTGCAAGATTCAGTTGTTTTAAGAGTTGGTGCTTGGTATGAAGGCAAGTAGAGAGGAGTTGCTTCTTAAGGTTCCAGTGGTGTGTGACTTCAGTAGTTTTTTCCCCCTCTAGCTGTTAATAATCCACATGAGGTCCATCTGTGTGATGGGTTTTACTCACAATATTTCAATATCCCATTTTTGTGAACGTCTGTTGTCTATTGGCTGATTCATAATGATGTGATTCTTGTCATAATAATTTCCCCCTTAAAAACAAAACAAAATCACGAAGGAAAAATTTTTATAAGAAATGCTCAGAAAAGTCTATGCATAATCTTTAAGAAGTGTGACCAAGTAGGAAAATTAGCTGAAAAATAGAAATTCCATGAGGTAGAGGGCTGGTGTCTCCCCCTCCGCCTCTGTACATTTGTCTCCTTCAAACATTCACTTGTCAGCTTAGGGCCTGAGGAGCTCCATTAGTTAGGAAGCAGAGCATACCACAAACTGGTGCAAATGTGCACAGAAACAGCACCTCTAAAGAGATTTTGCTTTTGGCAGATACTGAGCTCCCGCTGTGTGTCTGGACTTTAAGGCACATATTGCTATAGTAGAAATACACAGATTCACAGATACACGTAAGATTAGTTGGTGTAGAATATCCATTTCAACCACAAACTTAGGAAGTCCTTAAAATTTCTCTCCTTTGAATACATGTGGCATAGAAGTGACAGTGCATTTTTTAACATTATACCATAAATAAAAATCCACTAAAAGAAATAAATGTTCTAAAGAGCTATGAAGTGCTATCTCACCACCCCAGCCTTCAACATTATATTTTGCAGTAACCTAGGCAACACAGCTCTCTGATACTGTCGGAGTTGCCATCAGTATCACCAGTTGCATTTAATAGCTTTGTAGTAACTATTTACGAATTAGTAATGGTGGTTAAACTCCTTAGATCTGGAGGCCAGGAATGGTCTATTAGTTCAACATCACAGGGCTGAGAATTCATTATCAGTAAGTTTGAGCCACAGAGGTCAGATGTGTAACAGCCAGAAGGAAATTCATTGAAAAGGCTGACAGCTTCACCTGTGGGATGTGCCATTACCCTGGTCTGTAAGCCCTGCAGGGCTGTTAGGCTATCAATTAACTTAGACCTTTCATCTGAGAAGACAGCAGGGTAGAGCCCCCAGCCTCATAACCAGCCACCACCCCACCACCTCTCCCTAGGGATAAAACCCTAGGGCCAGCAGCAGGGCTTGAACAAATGGCTTGTGAGGAACAGGCATTTGCCAGTGAGGCAGTTCTACCAGGATGGCTAATTAGAAGGACTAGGATTTGAGGAATGACAATGTGGTGGGTTGACCCTGGCTGGATGCCAGGTGCCCACCAAAGCTGCTCTATCACTTCCCCTTCTCAGCTGGACAGGGGGGAGAAAATATAACAAAAGGTTCGTGGGTCAAGATAAGGACAGTTTAATAAAGTGAAAGCAAAGGTCATGCACGAAAGCAAAGAAAACCAAATGATGTTATTCTCTACTTCCCATCAGCAGGCAATGTCTGGCCACTTCCTGGGAAGCAGGGCTTCAGTACGTGCAGTGGTTGCTCCAGAAGACAAAAATGCCCCCCCTTCCGTCTCCCTTTACTTAGCTTTTATGAGCTGATGTCATATGGTATGGAATATCTGTTTGGTTAGTTTAGGTCAGCTGTCCTGGTTATGTCCTCTCCCAAGATCTTGTCCTGCCCCAGCCTGCCGTTGGGGGGGGGTGGCAAAAAGGGTTGGAGAGACAGCCTTGATGCTGTGCCAGCACTGCTCAGCAGTAGCCAAAACGCTGGTGTGTTATCAACACCTTTCTAGCTACTGATGCAGAGCACAGTGCTACGAGGGCTGCTATGGGGAGTATTAACTCCATCTCAGCCAGACCCAATATTTTAACCAGCCTGAAAACATTAGGAGTGAGCACTTTTCTCTTTTTGAGCCACACCTATTCCGTGGATCACTTTTCCTTCACCATTTTGTCTTCTGTAACTTGCATTTCTTGCCATCAGCACTACTGAACTCCCTGAAGTACAATAGTTGATCTGATCAAAATAAACCTCTGGGATCAAAAGAGTAAGGTTACCCCCCCAGCCCTGCTGTTTCTTGTCCCACTGTCAAGCAACTGGATATAAACCTAACAGGAAGGATAGGATTCAGTATTTAACCTTAAGTACATAAAGAGCTGGAATACAGCAATTAACCTCGATCAAAAAATGCACTTGGAACATGTGAGGTTTGGTTGTTTTTTGTTGTCTTTTTTTTTTTTTTTCTTAAATACCTTTAATGTCAAGCACCAGTTGGTCGCTGAGGTATGAACTGATGGTTCCATCCTCACTGAGTTTCCACTTTTGCCTGTCCTTCCCATGTTCTGCCCAGAGCGCGACTTTGGCCCCAGGCACATCTCTGCCACCAATGACATCCAGACAGGCATTGTTAGCCTAAGAAACAAGAAGAGAAGTGAGATCCAGGCCACAAAGCCACAGCTTTGTGTCTGACTTGTTTCTGTTTCAGGCACCGAGCATATTGCAGTAATCGTGCTATAGTGGGCAACAAGCCTGGCAAGCAAGCTAGTAACAGATTATTCAGCAATTGACCAGTTGCTTGATCAAAGCTGGTGGTCTTTGTTACTTCAGGTGTTTCTTATGTTAAAACATCAGCTTTTTATATTAATAACAGACTATCAAGTGCAGCATTAATACAAAATCACTTACTTTCTTTGCATATTACTTTTCAGAGAAACTCCTGACTCTTTAGAGGTAATGAACTTGCAACTTTAGACAAAACCAGGTTTCTACTTCCAGGAACATCAGTCACATTAGACAGATGTGAAAGTAGCCCAACGTGCCAAAGCAGACAGATCAAATCTGTCTCTACATAGTAGGAGGAGGTAGGTTGTAAGAGTTTTGATTTAAGATGCATGGGGGAGGCCAAAAGCTATCCTGGTGTTAATGCTAGCCTACAGTAAAAGCAAGAAGTGAAGGTGAAAGGACAGCAGGTGATAGAACCCACCCACTTCCAGCATCTGGAAACTCACCTTGGATTTGAAGAGTCCACGACAGTAGTGCCAGATCTGGGTATTCTTGCCATTATATGGGGACGCACATACTGATGTTGCTCTTACATCTGCTAGGCTTCCAGTGACTGTCAGATACTTACCTTGGGCTCGGTTCTTCACTCTGAGGTACACTGCTGGCTGAAATAGTGTGAAGGAAGATAGTTAACACCACAGAGATTAAGAAAGTATATGTGAGAATGCCTCTTGTCCATTTTATATCAGTTTTTTAAAGTATACGTTCCATTTCCAGTTTCAGATGAGGATGAAACTCCAATTTTTTGTTGGAAACAAATAATGCATGTAAAGCAGCAGTGTTTTTCACAGGCAGATAGACAGCTGTAAGCAGCAATGGTAGATAGTTATGGGTTTTTTTTTAAATGTATTTATGCCTATAGAACTAATTTCTATGATACGCAAATATCTCTAGTTCAGCACATTTCACTCATTCCAAGGCCAGTAAATGGGCTGTAATCCAAAAGCTGCTTATTCTCAGGACACAAAACTTACTGAGTCATATATCCAGCAACTTCAACCCCCACTAACTGGAATATATGGCAGAGAAGTTACACCATGACTTTTGAACATGGAAAACAGAGTACTGGCTTGGCATCCCTGTTTATTCAAAAAAAGAAGAGATTTTGTAGGGCTACTACAGGAATCCAGCTTTTGCTCTATTAGTCACCCATGGTGGCGCAAATAAAGGGCAGCTCTGCTAGAACCCCAGCTCAAGCATGTTTTTCTTCCGGGAGCTTTGAATCTCCTTTTTTCCCCACATAAAGGCAAACCTTAAGGTACAAAAAAGCCTCTCTCCCACCAAGCATCCATAAACTAATGTATATTAGTATATTAGTATAGTTATTCTTTACAAGAAAGGGATCGTATTATGAAGTCACTGAGCAAAATTTGTGTATCTCATTTTGCATAAGTTTCAAATGTTTCACTTTTTCTTGCACTACCTCTTAACACTGGCAAACTTGACTGTTTTTGTAATTTGTAATGGAGCCAGAAGGAAGAAATATGAAGTGATGCAGGTTTGTAGTATTATTCCAGCCTCAAAAAAAATGACCACATGCCCACAGAATTGTCAAGCACAGGCAGCTGACTGCACAAACTCAAGGAAGCCCTCAGTTTGCAGGGTTTAAAACAAAACAAAACCAAAAAAATAATCACACAAACCCCAAATGCCCAAGTCCCAGCAAAGTAGCTGAACTAGGCCTTTATAACTCTACTCACTGTTGCAGTGTAAAAAAGGATGCTACCAGATACAAAAGCTCTTCAGATTGCTGGCTGAAGAGAATTGTGTTTTTAAGATCAGCAAAAATTATTTTCATTACTATTTGCAAAAACAGAGCCAAAATGGGATCCTTTGGTTAGCACTTCATGGAGCTGTCAACTTGGACTAACAAATCACTGGGGGGTGGGGGCAGATAATGCATAACTAATGCTAGGGATGATTATTTTTGTTCACTGCAACATTTCCCCAGTTGAATCTAGTGTTTAAAAATAAAGCAGCATTTGTCACTAAGCGGAAACAATTTGTTTTGTGAGAAGCAGAGCTAACAAAAAACTCTTTTCCAGCGGAGTTACTGCTTACATTCCTTGCCACTCTCCCTGTCCTTTGCCTATCTGCCCAGATGCTGCCCTCCCACAGCTGCGTGGCTGGGCATACGGCAACATGTGCTTTGACTGGTTTCAGGCTTATGTGTGTCACCAATTACGTGATGCGTCTTAGAAAGGCAGAGGAGCACAATTGTACCTGCTTTTCCTTGAATGAGGGGCATTTATCTCAGTCTTGCTTCTCTACCTACCTTTCATAAAGCTCCTAAGAACTTTGTGGTTTTGAGACCTGAATCTTTGAATGAGATTGAAATTGGCATTACTTGGGGTGAGGCAGAGAGTGAAAGCCTGGTGGGACTGCATAAATGTTGCTTCTTTTGGAAATCCAGGCTACAGCACAGTAACATTTGTTCTTGCTTCCGTTTATGTTAATTATGAAACAAACCAATATAGAATTGGTTTTCTCATTATTATTGTTGTATAGCAAAGAAGTAAAAATAGAGCATCTACAGAACATGCTAATGAGCCATTCAGAAAAACAAAACTTGGCTCCAAGAAACTAGGAATTCTTTCACTTTAGGAGCCCAATAACTGCCACTGGAAGAATTTTCTGCTTCAGTAATCTTCCAGTAGGTCCTTCTGGCTGTCATCATTTGGCCTGATTTAAGGAGTACAATGCACACCATTATACTTAGTGGTAGAGCTGATACTTGTGAACTAATACCTGTCCAAAAAAAAAATAAAATTGTCCTTGTACACTGTTACACTACCTGCTTCATAGGACGAAGGGAGCCAATTACTTTCCAGCCACTGTGTTCATTCCAGTTTGAAATCTCACTGGGCTCCAGCAGAATCTGCTTTCCTAAAAAATTACATCCTTCATACGCAATCCACCTGGATACAAAAAAAAGACTACACGTTAACCATAGCAAAACTAAACTACAGGCTTGTGTTCAGGACTGTGCTCTTGAAAGCCCCCAAACCTGTCCACAGTAGTGCTAATATCAAACCTGTATTACCATGCCGCATAATACCATCCATTTCAGTGCTTTAAGACCTGTTTTCTGTTTGTCTGCCTAAAACTTGTAAATTCCACTCCCTGCCCCACCCAAATTTTTCACACAAATCTGAGAACCTCTGCATGAACCCAGATGGGAATAATACATTGTTTCAGTAGGCATGCATTAGGAAACTAGTAAGCCACCCACCAGACTGCACTACGTGCAGCTTTGCCTGCTTGTACATATTAATTATGAGAGGATCTTGTCCAATGTTTTCTTTTGTTACAGTTAAAGCTTTCTGTAGCTGTTCCACTTGTCTGAAAACACATACAAAATATTTACTCCAAAACCTATACATTGCTGTGACAGACTTTCCTGTAGTGAACATATCTGAGCCATGGACATGGCTGAATAAGTACTTTGTTAACACAGAGTTAAAGCATCAGCACATATATATCCCTTGTTATCTAGACATCTGCTCAGTAGATAATGTGCTGCTGCTTATAAAGGCAGCCTCAGGATCACAGATTGGTTTTGTTTATATCAATAGGACATTGCTGTGCACAGTGAATCCTAAATGCTTGGCTCATTAACTCATCTGAACACAAAGCAAATACTGGTTTCCCCACATTACCTGTTTTACAGGTCAGCTGCCAAGAGCAGGAGGGATGGCTGCACTCTTAAGTCAGTGAGAAAACATCCATAAACAGTACTCACAGCACCTGTAATTTACTTTTCCCCATTGTGCATAATTTGGTGAAACTGACAGCCAGCCTTGCTTAGGACTCCATGGAGGCTAACATGTGCCAACTGTGAACTGCCTTGTAACGAGGCTGTATCACCGTTTCTTCAAATTAAGTCCCATACCTCCTGACTAACAGGTATTCACAGCAGCCTGACCACCACTATGTGTTCCTTATATTTCTAGCACATTCCTGACTTTTTTCTTGCAATGCCTTCTGTGAAGTTACTGAGAATTCACTGTTAACGTTGTTCTCAGAGCATCAGTCTCACTGGAAATGTAGTTTCTGTTGCCAAAGCAGACATTTATAGGAAACAGAGAGGGGAAGGACTGTTACAGTAATAACCATCTGAAGCCAGGGTGGGCTTCTGGCATTCAGCAACACAGACAAAACACATCTCGGCTTTCAGGGAGACCAGCAGCCTCCGCTGTGCCATCTTTCCCACACCCTGGACCATCTCAACCCCAGCCCCCTTCGCCAAGCCACAGTCCACGCTTATGCCATTTCTGACTGAGGTGGTCAGTTGGCTCAGGAAGGATCCGAGTACCTAAGCCTGGCAGCACGATGCCATTGGTATAGGTACATAAATCTTTGTCATTGTCTAAAGCTCACAGTAGGCTTTGCGGCAAGGAGCCAAAAAACCTCTAAATCCACCTTCCTGAACTCTTGATCACAGATAAGGCAGATAAACCCTCTAGGACATCCCACAGACTTCCCACAATCACCTGCCACCCTCAGCCTTTAAGCTACCTATCTGCAGTGTGGGATGGGGACAGGCTGTGGAGGTCTGTTTCCTGGGGAGCATCACAAGGAGCTCAGAGTCTAGCCATTCTGCCCTGACCCTTCCCAGAGACAGGGAACTGGCTAACCTGGCTTGGATACTCAGAATAGAGAAGGGGCTGGACAGTTGTGCTCACTCTCCCATGCTTTTCTACTATGTGGTCCCAAAGCCATCACCCTTTCTTTACAGCCAGCTGCACAAGCAAAATGATTTAATTTCCAGTGTCACACCCCTGATGAGAGGGCAGAGGAAGGTCATAAAGAGACATTCCCCAACAGGACACACTTCAGACTCTAACACCTCCACAGAGGCATGAAGGTGTACACACTCCCACCAGAAATGTCAGGTGTTTCTCCTGAAGAAGGCCTTTCCTCCTCTAAACTAGCACAGATCACAAGGAATGCACATATGCTGTTCTCAGCCTCAAAGGGCAGCTGCTTAGCACTCTCACCTGGGGCACCTCAAGACAACAGCAGCAGATGATCATTATGTATTTTCAGCAAGGGCTCAGGATGGAAGTGGCACAGATATTAGGGACTAGAGTTTATAGTGAATTGACAAAGCTCTGTGGGGAAGCTTATATTCACTATGGGCCCACAGCTTAAGTCAACAGCTACTGACTGCTCTTAAAGAAAGGGAGGTTCAATCCTTAACCAACCTTTCAAAACACTTGTGTGAAATTCCTGAAAGAAAACAGTCCACAGTGCTCTGGAGCATTAGCTAGGTCAAGCTTAGCCTTTGTACCAACCTCAAAAAATCAGAGGAGCGCTCAGCAGTGTTATCACTCGTATCCATAGAAGGTTTTGACTTCCAGGTAGTAACAGACTTGATGCGTTTGAAAAATTCATCATAAGAATCACAACAGACATACACCTAAGCTGTGAACAGTCTACACTAACTCATTGCCCAATTAGTTCAAATTTTGCATGGTTTTGTGTCATTCTGTAAAACCTCTCAAGAAAATTACAGCCTTGTCTGTGTGAGAAAGGTGGGAAAAAGGTTAAAAATAAACACAGGAAACGTGTTGCATGAGAAGAATAGCAGTTTCCAGTCAGTTGCAGGATGAGACTCTGCAAATTATTTGTTGTTGCTGTGGATGTGGAGGCTGAAAACCTAGCCAAGACAGAATACTTGGGGAGCTTCTCCAAAAAGGTGAAAGGGGGAGATGCGGAAGAGGTTAGAAGGTCACTTCTGCAGATGTAAAATGGTTTTCACAAAAGACCCTGGGTGTGTATTCAGACTCATGAAGGCAGGTTAAACTAACAACAGAAGCAAATTACTGTTCCAGCTGTCAGATCTGCCCCAAGCTTCTCTCAGAAGTTGCTGCCTCTTTGGCAGCTGATCAGCACGTCAAGCAAGCTTCACTGAACCACCACAGTAGTTTAAGTTGGATCACTGCAGTTTATAGCTGCTATTTTGCAGCCAGTTAATAAAGGCAGTCCAAGTTTACTCTACCTGTCTTTGTAAGTCAGCAATCAAAACTTATTTACTTTTGGTTCCTGGCTTGAACAATGGGCTCTGTTGTTTATTACTCTATAGGGATAAAAGGATGATTCTTACAGGGGAAAATACACCCTCTGCCTGGATTTTTTGTTCATTTTGAGTCCTGATACAAAAAGAGGGTCTAGCATTCAACCACATTTTAGGATTTTATATTGTCTTAAAATAGAAGTTAGAACATAAAACACATCCTATGAAAAAAAGGCAGTAATTGGGAGAAAATGCATCCTCAGTATTTAGCTCCTATAATGCAAAACTGACAAGAATATTTCTTCCATACTTACAATCCACTTTTCACCCATACAGACTGAGTGTAAAAATGAAGGTCCTCATTCAAAACAGAATTGATGGGTTCACTGAAGTGCAGCTCTCTGCCCTTGCAGCATTCCAGAGCGAACAGACTAATGGAGGGCTCAGCAAAAACCTGGGGGGGGGGAGGGGAGGAAGGAGAAAAAAAAGCAAAGTTTTACTAGGAATAGTCTAACTTCAGTTGTTAGGCATGATGCACACATATGCCCACTTCAATTTAATTTCCACATGCTTTTGGGTTAGATCATGCTCCCTCAGCAAATGTAACAGCAAGGAAAAAAAAAAAAGTACATCCACCAAAGCACACACAGCTGAAACATACTGGATTTATCAGTGGCTTTGTCATCAGAGTATAGTGCCCCACTGACACAGGCCAGACACAGTGAGTCGCTTTGAGATGCAGAAAGGCCTCTGTTCGCATTTGAAAAAATCTCTTTTTGATCCCATTAATATCATCAGGACCTTGATTCCTTTTCATAAATCCAGTTTATCTATTTATTGATGGAACAGGTTACAGCAATAGTTTTCAGGGTGATCTGTAGTTTGCATCTAAAGTAGCGAGGCAAATCACAAGTCTATTTTCCATAGACTTCAATTAGCAGTGGTTCACTGGAAAAATCTTAGGGTTCTACAAATTGGAAAAGGTAAAAAATGTCAAAACTAAAAAGTTCTCAATGTTTTTAAGACATTGCTATTTTTCTTCTGACAATCTTGAAGAAATAGCGTAATAAATAACCCCTCTAATCTCCTGTAGAATTGAAACATTTTTCACTTATATCCTTTTCTACAGTTGAGACATTGCCTATGAAAGCAAATAAAAAGATCAGTTTGCACGAAAATGTGGTACAGCTGTAAGATCAGCAGAAAAGCAGAGAGAACAGATTTAAATACACAAAGCCTGTGCCTTAGTACAAGGAACACTTGTAGACTTTTTCAGCATTTTTAACCTAAAACCATAAGGGAAGTATCATAACCAAAATCATAAGCACTTGTAATTTGTATCTTGATGGAGCTGGTAAAAGAAGGGGGAATAGGTCTGAATAACTGCTTCAATTAGCAGCCTCTCCAGGGAAGTCACCCTGTTCTTATGTTACCCCGAGATAGCCGGCCCAGGCAAAAGGTACAATTTCTTCTGCAGCGAAGACATGGCCTCAGGTGGAATGAATGAAACAAAATCTTGAATTAAAGTTGACACAGGCACTGAGTAATTAAGAGAACTTAACTTTCATGTTTGAAGAGGCACATGTATTGTAGTGAAGTGTCTCTGAAGAGCTCATGGTGATTCAGGACTTACAAATTTACTGGCACTGACTCAGTGCACTTGGTATGTAGCCGGTTGTTCAAATCCTGCCTCAGAGAAATTGCTCTCCTCTGCCAACAGGCGCAGGGACAATGTAAATCATGCAACAGTGCATGGACAGGGAGTTTGCCGAGACATTTTAAAGAGACTGGGATCATCCAACCGGAGAGATTTTTAAAGCCCACTGCACTCCTAAAAAACTAATGTTACAAAACAGGAAGAGATTAAAACCCATAATGTTTTTATTTTGCAATGTCAGTTCTTCTCAACTGCCTTCTGCTGGATTAGGTGGGTCAAATTTATAGTGTGTGTCTAAAGGCTTACTTTGAAATCTAGACCAGCAGACCTAGTGCCGGCAGCTACTTCTCAGGTTGCTTTGCTGGGCAAGGCAGTATGACCACACTCCAGTTTGCAAAAGCCTACTCCCTTGGCACTGGCTTTCACCTGAGTGGACACCAGAAGCCATGTCCAGAACAGGTTCAACAAGGAAAATTTTCACAAGTGCGTTAGTAAGCACGGGAAACACCATTTGGCATCCTTGTTGTTAGACATTGTTACCAAAGCCTAAAATTTATCCTGCTGTTGCAATATTCAACACCTTAAGAGACAGGGATGCTGTACCAGATGGACAAATCATCTGATCCAGCATATCCATTTACACACCAAGAATCAGAACAGCAAATTGGTGAAGTCAATTAAAAATGACTCTAGCTCTCATGTGGTTGAGACTGTTTGAACTCAAAGGGCCTGAGAAAGCCCTGTCCGGTTGCTCAGAGTCCCAGCCTGTGGGTACGCAGCAAACATTGCATCTATGACACACATAACTGATCACAGGGACTGATACCACCTTTCCAGTGAGACCTCAGAAGGACTTCACTGATCTTGGCACAGATGTGAAGCACAGAAAACGAAAACATGCTGCTGTCTCAAGCACTGAAGCTCTCATATATCCATAACCATATATAGAACAATGAGCTGATTACTCACTTTATATATACCATTTTATACCAACAGCTGGCAGCAGTGACTTGGTCTGGCTTTTTTTCTCTGATTTTGTTTTCATAGCTCCATGGAAACTACCAACAGTAAAAAACAAGGTTTTGAGGCTATGCTGTTACACTTACTAAAGGCATCTTACTCCCACCCTTCCTTGCAGAATGCTGAGGTACACTTTCACCCATTTTCAGGGTGAAGAGTCATCACCAATAGGTGAGCATGAGACTGACAGGATCAGCTTTCTTCACCAAGGCCCAATCCTGACAGGCCAGGGAGGAACAGGGCTCTCCAAGAGCCAGAGAAAGGGCAACCAGGCAGAGAACACAAAAGGGGACAACCTCAGATTGTGGTGTTGTTTTAGGCGGACCCCAGTCCCCGATTTTAAAAGTTGAGCTAAAGACCTCTACGTTTACCCACGATTGGCAAGTCATTGCCATGTCTAGGTCAGGATTACTTTAGCTTTCTTTCATAATTATTTCAAGGAAAATGCCATCCTTTGGGGAAAGCTTGCCAACTGCAGGAATAACAAAGTGCTAAAGAATTACTTTACTTGATCTTTGTGTGTTAAGGAACGAATTGCCTTGCTTAAACCAGCACCAATAAAGTTTCAAGAGGTTTTGCTTGTCATGATTTTTTAATGCCAGTGTGCAGGGAGAAATTTGAAGAGATTTAATATATTCAAGAAGCCGGTGATTAAGGAAGGCTATATTTACATAGCATTTCAAGATATAAGCAGCCTTGTGAACTGCTATATAGTGATATTCTTTACTTAACAGGTGTGGTAGTCTATGGCTAATACAGCACATGCTGCCATGAAAATGACACAGCTTTTTTCCCTCCCCACAGTGTGATTTCAGAGGCTGAAAGGTAAGCCATGGAAATCAACACAGTAAAAATCTCTTGCACAGTTCAACTCAGCTCAGACTTTCCCCTCAATGACTTCCACCTCTTTTTAAGGGAAAGAAGCTGTGCACCGCAAATTTTTCACTATTCAGAATTTTATAGTTTACCAGTTCAGAAAAAAATGCAACACAAGCCTGATGTGTTTGATATTAAACAAAGATCAGTGCAAGATTAACTTCCTTTCAAATGCCTTTGTTTGCAGTGCAAGGCTTAGATACTTGACCCACTGAAAAGCAATAGTGTACAGTCACAAAGCAGCTAACCAAAAGATGCTACAACTGAAAACCAAGTGCAGAAGTGAATTTGCACATCCGCTTATAATAAAAACCAAGTACAGTTTTAGCTATGGAAAACATACAGATAATTTTTCATTATGAATTTTGTGAAAATTATTACTAATAAAGCCTTTTTGAGAAGGGGTCACCCCAAAACATACTTTTCCTCGTACCTTTTTTTGCAAACTTAGATTTTGCAAACTTTGATGGGAAAGCCTCAAGAAAGCAAAGAAGGAAATCCACAGGGCCAGACTAAAGCATGACTGTAACCCAGTCATGGGAAGGGTTGGTACATTTCCCCACTTTGTGTCCCTGCTGACCTGTTGCTATGCAAACGTCATTCGCCAGAGCCTTAACTGGAGGAGACTCCACAGCTGTATTACAACATCCTTGGAAAAATCTTTACTCTTCAATCTTGGCTAACTCATCATTTACAACCATCTTTACTGAAGCTGCGCTCACCTGGCTACTCCCTTCAGTGTCGGAAGGATGCCTGGCTGAGAGGAACATGGTGCTGGATGACGGTAACACCCATGATCCAGTCCCAGCTACTCAAAATGACTCATTGCCTGGCCCTGGGAAACAACGATTAATTTTTGTATCTGATTTCATTATTTGCCTCACATGAATGCTGGGGAGATTAGTCAACACCTGTATTTAACTTAGAAGAGATAATCAATACAGAAATACAGGAACTATCATGATCGATCAGAGCAAGAATAAGGAATGCCTCAAAAGAAAATGGGAGGGGGAAAAAAAAAATTGCATTGCACAACCTACAACCCAGATCTCGTTTTTGTTTTTAGAAACTATGAGACTGGTTTAACTTTAGGACTGAAGTTAACATTTTAGAAGAAAAACCAATTACTGTAACAGTCCTGGATAGTCTTGTCCATATAAGTCACACCAAATATTACAGAGTATGACAAACCAACATGCCTGAGAAAAGGCAGCACTAGAGCTGAACTCCCCATTGTAAGAACATCTTGTAAGGGTCTCTATCCCAAAAGATTAACCTCTTCAAGCAACAAACACCTGACAAATGCCCCAATAACCAACCATGGCCTTATAAACGGCCCAACTGACTTCATGCACTCTCTTCCCACCAGGCAAACTGCCCATGCTTTCCTTTTCATGAATTCACAGCAATGGAAAGGGCAAGTCTTTGCTGATGCAGCCAAAGAAACCTGCACCTCTGCAGCAAATGCAGCAACACTTAAACTGCGCTATGTTTACCCCCCTGCAGAATGGCTATTAACAACAATACCAGCAAGTTTCATCAAGAAGCTTTTCTTAAAGAGTGCTTTGGGATTTTCAGATGAAAGGAGATGATGAGAGGCAAGTTATATTAGGTTCCAGTGTTCTACTACTACTAAATAGATGTGTACCTTTCTAATGTTAAGTGGGCTTCCAACGTGTGTAACTGCCTGTTCACTTAAAGAGATAACATTCCTGTGAGATACACTTTTTAGCATATTTTCCCCACTTAGAAAATAGTACATGAAAAAGACTCGTTGGTCTTTCAGAAGCACTCCCCTTTTCAGAAGGAAAGAGGCCATATAACACATTGCTGCTTGATATGCGATCTGGATTAATACATGGGTATTGCAACACTATTTTTCCTCTCACAATACTGAAAACAAAGGACATTATTTTCTCATTATCAGGGTACAGATATGCTTTGTTTCTTCTTTGTATCCTCTCATTAACTTATAGCTTTTCCTAAACGCTCCCAGAAGGGCAAAACAGTCCAGTCTGAATTTGAGTAAAATGGAACAGTAGGGAAAAAATACAGGTAGGGCCTCTTGAAGATTTAGTTCTATTGTATTATATGCCTCAGAAAATAAGCCAAGATGGGAAAGAGGTTCTTGGGAATAAGGGAACACCTTCCCCACTCTCCTTACGAATCTGCCTAACTTTTGGTTTGCTACATCCTGAAAAACAGTAGAGGAAACTGGTTACAAAGATGTGCTTAATTCCTCTATGACGCCAGTGCACAATAAATGGAGAAATAACCAAAGTGGAACCATGTTAATTTGCATTTCTTGAGAAGTGGGGAAGTGTGTGCATGGAGAGGGTGGGGGTAGCATGTCATACTTAAATGATAACTACTTTTCAGCAAAGTACCCATAAAACATCCCTCCAAGAGCTAAAGGTTAGAACAAAGCTAGCCAACCTAAAACACTGTCATCACAGCGAAGAAATCAGACCATCACTAGTCTGAGCCTGTTTTCTTATCCAAATTCATTTTGTGAGGCTCTGAAAGTTTTGGGTTTTTTCTATTCTAATTGGGCCAACTCAGTGATTTAGAATGAGATTTTTCATTTTTTTAACGTAATGAAGTTCTTAAACAAGCAAACTATATTTCTGGCAATTTTCAAAATAAAAACTCCAAAGTTTACTTTCCTAAAAAAAAAAACCAAAACCCAAAAAACACCACCACCAAAAAAAACCAAACAAAAAAACAAAACTTTTTTTTTGAAATTTAGAACATTTGCTATATTTGTTTGCATCAAAGCTGTGTTTTCCAGAGAACAAGTATTCCCTCAAATCCTTTCCTTATCTTCAATTGGTTGATCTATTTTCAAAAAAATCAGTAAAGGCTTTGCAGAAGTTCTTAGCTGTTTCATATAGATTAAGGCGTTACTGTTACCTTACTTGGCCACAAAAATCCCACTGCAACCTTACAGTGTTGTTCCCTCAGGGCACAAAAGCACACCCATGCCATGAAGGAGTACCACAAACATGTAACTTCAGTCCTCAAACTCTCCTTCCAAAATGGAGAGTCCAGAAATCTTATGGCAGCTGACAACATCCAAAAAGCCCCTCAAAACTGTTAGATTTTGAATGAAAACTCAAAAAGTTACACTGAAGGTATTGCTACATGCAATAGCAAAAACGTTGCTAGATGTTCCTTTTAGTTACCAGAACAGATAGGAGCAGAAAGGGCATCTTGATTCAGGGTTGGATGCAGAAATCAGCGTGGATGCCCAGCCAAGGTGCACACCCCATGGGTGTGAGTGACCTGTGCTGACCGCTACATTTCATAGCTATTTTGGAGTTAGCCCCACACAAAGAATCTACATTTCTTACATATGTCCTGCAGATAAAGGCCCAGACTTGGGACTTCACTGAGCTGTACAATATCAAGGTAACATATAGTTAATTATCATTACAATCTTGCAAATGAGAAAGGGACTACCCAGATCCTGTGTCCCCATTTCCTCCAGATTTGTTCTCCTATTCCAAAAGACTGGCTGAAACAATCTACTTCTAAAATATATAGCTGGACCACACCTACACCACTCAATGGACTTTGACAATGGTTTCCAAATCCTGGTAGTGAGCTAGCCTTACGAGTCCTTTGTGCTGTTAAAAGCGTATTTTTTTTTCCCCTCTGCCAGTGCCACACATAGGCCTCTACTTCTAGTCAACACCTGGGATGCAGAAACCTCACACACTAAAGCAACACCTGGCTCCCTCTAGCATGAGAGTCCTTCCAACAGTTACACTTGCAGAAAATACATCTCTCTTAAAGGACAGCAGGAGACAATGCACATTCAGGGTTTGGCGTTGGGGTTAAACATTCTCCCTCTTACACATGAGCTATCGAGATACCTTAGGTCTGAAATTGGGCTGGTATTTAAAGCTGAACAATAGAAGGAGTTCCCAATGTCACAACTGAATTCAGTAAAGCTATACAACAATGCCACTTGGGAATACGCTTGCTGCTCTCTTGAATGAGCTAACAGAAATATCTTGTAATAAAAAGGGCTCTATTCCAAGAACAGTACACTGCGGACAATGCACAGAATTAACTATGGCTGTTTCTGACCACTGACCAAACTTACTGCTGCGTGCTTAACACCACGTCTGTACTACACAATACCTCTAAGCACTGTCCTGTGCGATTAGCATACACAATGTGTTAGCGGCTGATGAGGGCATGTCTATTTGTAAAACAGGTGTGGTTCGACAGCATTTTATGCTGTTTAGTGCCTCAATTTTGTGAAATACAAGGGCTCCTATTTGCAAGAGAGGAACTGAACTAAGAGGTGCAAGTCACTTACAGGAAGATGTGTGCAAGCTTCCCACACATAACCTGCCAAACACACTTCTTCCAGGGCCTGGCCCTCGGTAATCAAGGGCTGACAGTAGCTTCCTACTATGCCAAAGTGCATAGTTACTTTCCTGTGAGATTACAGGCTGAGGGATTTGGATGAGACCTACCATTTATGTCAACTGATTTAGCAGAGCAGAGTCCAAAAGCCTCATGTGAAAAGGAGATCTTTAATGTGAAAATCAGGCTCTCAGCAGGTGGGAAGCTATAGCTCCACTGAAGTCACTGTATCTATGTAACCTAGTGAAAAGACCAGCTCTCAAACTCGAGTTGTACATCCTTCCCACCACATCCATGGCTGTTGGTGTCTGGGTTCTTTTTGCTTTGTTTTTTTTTAATCTGTTCACAAATGGAGAAAAAAACCTTAACACTTGAAGAAAACTGAATTGAGTAATCCTTAAAGTCTAGTTTCGTAAGAGTTAAATTGAAGGGCACATGTCACATAGACTGAGTTTGTGTTCTCTGATCAGGGAAGGAGGAAGAGTTTTGGGGAAGTTGGTCATTGCTAGAGGGGAATGGGCAGAGCAGCCACTTGCTTCTCTCTTACCAACAGCGTTATGGCCAGCTTATCTTGGATGCTCTTGCATAGAAGCACATCAAGATATGGAACAAAGGCACAGACATGAGAGCAAGACTCTAGAGGCCTATGTCCTATGTGCAGAATTACAACAGGATGTACAAAAGGCTGTATCTAACTTGTACTGGATAGCACAATGCATTCCTCTCCAATCTTCCGGGCATAGAGCGACCTCGTATCTCACCTTACTGCTACAATAGGTCACTTGGCTGCAAGTTGTGTGCCTGCGTAGTACAACTAACGTGGCCTGAAAGTCACATGAAGACTGTATGCATGTGTAATAAGTACTTGTCCTGTATCTCAGAAGTCACCAAGAGAGAGGATGGCCACATGAGCTTTGGGCTGGACTATCTGATGTGTCATACACAGCTCACAGGCCACATGCATGGTATATTATACCACTTTATTGACCAATGATTTGAGATGCCATTAGGAGGTGAAAATCTTTTTTTATATTTCTGTAAAATAATTAGTACATTAAACAGCATTATGGCAAGTATATGCTACCTTGTAATTTCAGTTTTCATGTCTTCTGTGTGTACTTTGCTTTAAGACTGAACGTTGGCTGTAGGCCTAATAAAAAAAGGCCTGTATGCTTAGATGGCATGACAAAATGTCTCACTGCATACTAAGCTTGCTGAGCTGTATTATGAAGACCAGTCACAAAAATGCCAACCAGTGCAACTCATACAAAAAAGAGCAACTTTGAGCCCAGAACACCCAAGGACGTGCACCTACAAGTGACCACGTGCATGTGTGCACGCAGCCTGGCTTGTTCCTAACCCAAAAAATCCTGTAAGCCAAGAAAACAAACTTCACTTTTCCCTGAGTGGGAGTTTGTTTAGTGCAAGCACTTGCTTCAGGCATCTGACTAGGAAAAGAGTTCCAAAACATTATTTTTTTTTTTTTTTCAATAAAGTCCTTACATATTGAATAGGCTTGAGGGATTTGATTGTAGCAGTTGGGCAGCCACAGGAACTGAGGTCAGCGTAGAGGCCTTCTTCCAGCACACAGTGATTGTCAGTCATTTCCCCTTGGTAATACAGGAGCCAACTGCAAGAATAATGTAACAACAAAGATTAGCTGCTCTAGCTGCTTATTAAGTTTTTTTTCAAGATTTAGTATTTGCTAAGGAAATAAGGAATAAAAAAGTTTTTGTTCTTGTTAAGCTGAAAATAAGGTGACTTGAAAGGCTATGTGACAAAGCAACCAAAGTAGCAAAATCAAATCATGTGGTACAGAAATCTCAGTTCCAGAGTCAAACGACGCGAGTGGAATGCAGACACTTCTACTGTACCAAGTTCTCAAAATCTGGAAAAAATTCTAACTGAAGTTAAAAAAAGAATCACAGTAACTGTGCAAACTTCCCACAGGGAAAGCAAAATGCATACTACCCAAAACAATGACAGGACGACAGTTACTGAGATGCATTGCAAGACATGGGTCTAAGACATGATGGAATATGATGGGCATGTGTTATGCACTTTCAGCTTTCTGAAATTTAGTAGCATTTTAAAAAAAATTTCATATTACTTAGAATGGTGGCATGTAAAACAACTGACTTACCATCCCCGAAGAACCTTAAAAGAACATGGTATGAATGATGTAAAATCAGAAACTTCTGCTGTGAAATCTATACATGCTCCTTGGAAATGTGTATTACTGAAAGCTTTGAGCTACAAGAACAAAACAAAACAAAACCAATGACTAGAAGGAAAACAAATGCATTATCATTAATGTAAACAGAGATAGCTGTGCTGTTAGAGAAGTATCCATTCAATTCACAAAGATACAATAAATAGAATGAGTTCTCATTTAAGGAATCTTTTATGTTTCTACAGCCACTTTATTTTCAGAAAGATCAATTGTTTTATCATCTCTGGGCCAGGTACAGGATGCTTCCCAGTGATGCTAAGGCAGTGGCATCAAGCATAAGTTCAACTGCAGCAGGTGAGGGCCCAGAGAAAAAGAGAAGGCTAGGACTGAAGGATGTTATCTTCCATCCAAAGTACCCGTGAACTGCAGCTAACTCTTGCTACACAGCTCAACGACCCAGTGTTCAAAACAGGACAGGGAAGTGTTGGTCAAAAGATACAGGGCGACTGTTGACAAAGTGCCTTGAAATCTTCTGTGACCACAGTAATCGCAGGTATTTTCTCATTTAAGAGCTAGCAAGAGAATTTCTGGGGGAACTGGGTACAGCCTGGTAGATGCACCATGAACTTCTGATGTTCAGCTAAGCTGTTTTTACATGTCATGGTGAAGAACTTCAAGCCACATTGAAACATATGCCACCAGTAAGACGTGATCAGTTCACCCTGAAAAAGCAATAAGGTTGAAAGTGTTGCAGTAAAAGAAAAAAGAAAAGAAAAAAAGTAGTATGATATAGCCTATCATCTATAGCAAAGTTGCCTAGAATTCTGTACCCTTGGGCCACCACTGTGTAAGTGAAGTGAATTTCTCTTTAAAGCCTGAAAGAGAGGCTGGAAAAGAATGAAAAAAACTAACTGTGTCAAGCAAACAACTCATATTCTGTAATGGAAGAAAAACACGATGGCTGTTTCAAGAGCTGCTTCCCCCTTCATGCCCCAAATTGGCCAAGCTTCCTGCCAAGAAAAGAAATCAAATGCTTTTGCCAGTATGAGAAGGCCAAACACAAGTATCAGCAAATGATTTTATGGAAAAGCTCAGTCTATGTTTTTAAAAGAAATGAGTATGTTTCCTATTAGAAAGAACAAGAAAGGTTTAACCTGGCCTTGCATGCTGTAACTGCAAACTGGAGAACACTAATCAGCTATGATATAATGAATAAAGTATAACTGATTTTTCTGTAAATATAATTGCACAAAGCATCTATTTAAGCTGTAATTACATAGTATTTTCTACCCACTTATCGCAAAGCTATTTATAAAGGAATATATATATATACACACACTGTCTTTCTTGCATAGGCCAGATGCTGTGCAAGGCTTTTAGAAAAGGCCTGTAACTCATTTTTACACAGATTGTATCTAATAACGAATGATGGTCTTAATTTGACAAAAGCTGGGTGAAGTACTGATTCCTTAGTGAAAACATTGCATTTCTGCAATTAGTGTCAAACTGCAGCTACCTCTACTTTGTCAGGGTTTGACATTTACTATATGAGGTCTCGCTTCCTAAAAAGTATTGAAAATACAAATACAAGTTATCACAGCAATCATCTCTGCTTCCTAAATCACCTGTACAAGCCAGCTGCTATTAAAAGAGGCTTTGCTCTTGCTGGGCAAAACCCAGTTTTATTTTTAATAAATATAATGAATGGCTTTTTAGAGCTGGTGATTTCAGGCATTCTTACATTATATGTACTTTGTTTATTACAGATCCTGGCAAGAGGAAAAGGTCATGGGAGTTAGAGACATTTAAAAAAAATTAGTCACTTTTCAATTTCTGATGAGCAACTAAAAACAGAAGTGAAAAAAAGACACACTCTTGTAGACAGTGAAAACAGTTCCCTTAGCTCAGACATAGGTTTATTAAAGGTAGAAGAATGTATAATCATTCAAAATAACCAGTATATGGCTTATACAAGGGTCAAACATTAGGCTCCTTAAGGATTTGCCAGCTCATACACACCATGCTTTGAAGTTACAAACTAAGAGATTGTTGCATGCATGGCAACTTTGATTTTACTCTGATTGGGAAATTTTTTGTATTTCTCCAGAAGACCGTTTTTTACTTATCCTAAGTGATTAAATGTTTTCCCATAAAAAAATGTACTCAAAGTATTTCCCCTCCTAAAATTATTGTAGCAATAAGAATGATGTTCTTCGTTTCCTAGCTTCAGGGCAGAATCCTATGAAAACCAGGATTATCATAAGTCAGGATACTATTTTTTAAAAATGGTGTTAAGACTGCTATTAGAGAACCCAAAAGGCAAAACACAATCTAGTACATGTCAGTATTTAAAGGTGACTGTGCGTATACACACACACAGATTTTTTTCACTTATCACTGGAAATAAAAGGACTGCAAAGCACAATTTATTGAAATTTCAAGGGTTTCAATTGATCTTAAAGGTCTGCAAAACTGGATTAAAGCACTCAAAGAATAGTTTTTGGGAGATTCTGAAACGGTAGAAGAGTTGAAGATGAAGAGAAAATTATTTTCAACTGTTTGGATCCCACTGGTTTCATCTGATTTGGTTGTTTTATCTGGTATCATTTACCAAGGCCCTCCTGTGAACATACTTGTAAGTCTTTGATTTGGCCACAAACTGCCATATGAATAGGTCTGGCAGGAAATCAGTGTTTAGGACTAAAATAATACACCAATTATGTCTTCAGACAGGAAACATTTCCTGTAGTCCTGGGTTAATCATAAAATTGTAGAACTGGTCAACCTGGTAAGTAACACAATGTATGTATTTCCCATGCGCTTATGGCTATTATAGCCCTCCAAGCAAGAAAGAGCAAAATTGTGTCCAGATGACAAAATACTTAAGTTTTCTGAAACAGAACCATTGAGCTCTAAAGTCTCTTTTGTCTGTAAAAGAGTCCTGTTTCTTGAAATAAAGTTTTCCAAATTTGCTTAATTAAGAGCATGTCATAGAGAGAGCAATATAACCACTTAGATCATCAACCATACTAGCAGCACACTCCAGGACAGAAAAAAAGATATCAAACAACTAATGCAGGAAGGGAGGAGAGCCCTGTTGGGACAGAATGTTGTGGGAGACACAGACCATCCTTTGTGATGAGCACTTAAGAGAAGGTTTTTGGTTTTGAAAGATATCACAAAGGTACATTAATGGAACAGAACCTTGTAAGGTAACAACCAAAAGTGCAAAACCCTAAACTAACTTGTTCTTGAGACTAGAAGTGAATTATAGGGACCACTTTCTCTTCCTAAGTTGTCACCAAGTCAGACATGACTTTCAGGGAAATAGTTAAAATGTATCATAGAAGAGATTTATCACAGATTTGTTATAATCAGGATGTGCTCAGTTAAGGTCATATGTTCTGTAAGGAAAAGGGAAGCACAGAACAAGTGGTGCCTGCTGCTAGAGGAGCAGCTATACATGATTGAGAAAAGCATGAGCTACGAACATCCAAGACTAAAAAAACCCAACTTCCCCTGTTGAGGCATTTGCAGGTTTGAAGAGTGCAGTTCAATCTTCTGCAGTTTATACTCTCTTCTTCACCTCATACATGAACAAGAAAGTGACAAACCAGATATAATGCAAAATAATGGAAAGTATATATGCCACAAAGAGAAGGATAAATGCATGTGATAGCGAGTTTCCAGAAAACAGGAAGAAGATTACAGACACCCCAAGTCACTCAAAACCTACTGAACTACTTGCATTTTTGAGGACAGAATACTGAAAGGTATGATCTGGAATAAAGCAGAGTAGAACATTAGCAAACTTAGCCTTTATACATCTACTAGTTTCCTCAGTCAATACTCAGCTGTATGGAGATGATAATACTGAGGTATCATCTGAAGTGAGACATTCAACATTACCTGTATTTAATTATTAAATCTAGTTTAGAACTAGAGACTGTTTGTAATGTCAACATACCAAATGTGGAGGCTCATTCATTCCAAGCGGTTCCTGCAATAATATATATATGCATATAAATAAATAAAACTAATTACAATTAATTTCCTAGAACACATGTCAAGTTCCAGAGATTTGTTAATTATGAACTCAAGAGCAGAGAAAAACACACTTCCCATGCTCTTGGCACAATTCTCTTCCCCAGCCTCTGCCACCAGCTGCCTGTAAGCTCACGACTACCTGCCTGACAGTTCAGTCCCTTTCCACACAAAGAATTTGTGTCAGCATTAATTAGTTCATACAATGCGGATTAGAGCCCATGTAAATGTCTCTGTATTTATTTTTGAGTCTATTTCTTGGAAAAAAAGACAGAATTAAAAACAACAGAAGAATAGGACACCTCTTTCAACACATGCTCCTCAAAGTAAGGTTAAATGTTTGTTCCCTTCCTATTTTCAGTGCAGTAGTGTCATTTACTATATACTCATTACTGAGGACTGTCTTTGTTTTGCATTAGGGTTTTGACAGCTGGCACTAATTTATTTGGGCAAGTTGCACTACCTTGGATTTAATAATGGATAAAAATATCTCCTGTCTTTATATTCACTATATGTATTACAAATATTTTAGCATAAAAACAGGGGAAAAAAATAAATCAGACCTCTATTATACAACAATGATACAGGCCAGATAAATTCTCAAGTATTTTTATATCCATTATCATTTAGGCATTAGAAATTACTGTGTTTTAAGGCAAATTAATCTTTCCAGGCCAGGTTATTCTTTCCACGAATGCAATTTGCCAAAGGGAAGTTCTTCTTATGAAGTTTCCCTGACAATTTTCTCAACAGATAGAAAGATCCAGAGTGTCCATTTCAGCCTCCATCCTGAACAGCCTCATTATATGTCATCCACAAGGGTCTTTAACTTGTTTCCAAGTAAACAGAAAAATTGATTAAACAGCATAGCCCACATGATATCATTATTATTGTACACTCTGATCTCCAAAGGTCTCATTTCTTTTAGGTTTGCCCCTTAACAAGTTCTAGTAACTCACCAACTTAATAGGTCGGATTGACATGATGATTTTACTAGATCCTCCCCAGTCAAAGAAACATTTATATTTTCCTTTCTCCAATACATACTGTTCACCACAGAAATATTTCTGCTGATATGCGACCCACCTGGAGAACGACACAAAAATTAAATTGAAAACACCACATTTTTCTGTGTAGTTCGATGAACATACTAATGAGTTAAATAGAACAACTTTATTTTGAGTTTTCTTGATAAGTCCAGCTGACAGTGTAACATCAAACCCAATGAGAGGCACAAAATTGTCACACACTTGATTTTCTGCTTTTACGTTGCAAGCACTACTTTGACAAACACACAATTTTGGGTATCTACCTTTCTACCAAATATACATTCAGCATGAGATGATGCCTTGCTCAGAAGCCCAGAGGGAACACACTTAATTGACAAGTTTTTGAATCTCTCTCAGCTTAACCTTTACCTATTCAGCATCCCCCCAGACAGGGCTTTCTTCCAACTTTTCCAGTTCTATTTAAGAAAAATGGTGCAAGAAGAAAGAGAAATGAGGAAGCCTTGAAAGGATGAGATAAAGCAAAAGCTTGCAATGGTTGGCAGTTCAATCTTCTCCCATCCTGCTTTCCCTGTTGCGATTTAAGAAGAAATCCCCAATTATGTGACACCGAGGGTCCCCCTAGCCCTGCACAAACGCTTCTTGGCAATGGCAGAAGTAGTTAGAGACTAGTTAGAGATGCTGCTAACTTAGCCACTTTTGGTGGTGCATTCCACTCTTAGTCACCCCGCACCCAGGACTGTTATATTAGCGACATTAGAGGGCACCTCCTTTCCCAGTCCTTTTAGCACCTGTTTATGAATCTGTCATTAATTTGTCTAATGCTTTTTTTAAATCTCCTGGTGCTATCTGCTACCACAGCCTACTTTAGCAGCAAATTCCAGAAATTCGCTGCCTCTGGTGTAAGAAACGCTTTTCGCTCCCCACCTCTAAATCTGTTTTAAAGCAATCTTCAGCTAGTTCTGTAAAGCATCTCCCAATTGTTGGCACACAGGATTCTGTGAATGCTGCTGCCTTAAGCTTGTCTACAACCTTCAGGATTTTGCAGATCTCATTTGTATCCTTCCTCAGCCAACTCTTCTCCAAATTGAGTCCCAGGCTTTAATCCTTGTATCTCAACCTCATGAGACACTCATGAGATAAAGAGATATCCAGTCCCTATGTGAGCAGTTCAAATCCCCCTCTGTTGCTACCTGTCCTAAGTTTGAAGCTTTTTCAGTCTCACTTAACAGTTGCTGATACCTATCACCATCACCATTATGGTAGGCATGACAAAGTTAATACTGCACTTTTAAAATTACTATTAAGTCTAGAATTTCCACCTACATGATTCCATAGTACTCTTTTCCCATGATGTATTTTATGTTTTAACACTTGATATAATTCTTCATGTACACTACCACTCCCATGCCTATAATAGCCTACTCTGTCATTCCTGTAGAGTTGGTAGCTCCTCTGCTTATCCTTCCTGTGAATATCTGTGGTATCTGCTATATCAGAGCTGTCACTTCACGCCAAGCATTCTAGTTCCCCCCTCCTGTTTTTTAGGCTTCTAGCACTTGTAACTTTTGTCCTTGCTGCATCAGTTAATACTGCATATCTTCATCAACAGACATTGCAGGTAGTCTAATTTACCTTCCTTATTTATTGCAACTGTGCTGCTTATTTTCCTCCTGGACTTCACATACGCACACCAAAAGTTAGGCAAGTCCACCCTGTAGGCTGTATCAGCTTGAACCAGGTACTCTTCCACACCTGTTAGTGTAACTCTCTGCTTTTAGTTTAAATAGTTCTCTAAAAAGTATTTTAATTTTCAGTGCCAGCAGCCTGACTTTTATTATGAATAAGGCACAGCTCATCCTTTCTATACAGGCTGCACTTGTCCCCAAAAGTATCCCAGTTCTTAATATACCTAAAATCTTTCTGTATTACTGCCAAAGCTCCTGTATCATGAAACTGCAGTCTGTGTGACCTTTGGAGGGACATCACAAGCTTTCTCTAGTAACAAGAATGCCCAGATCCAAAACAAGGTGTAGACATGAAATTTAGAGAAACTAAGAAGTTTTTTTAAATTCCATTTATCAAGGAAACTTCAAGAAACACTGTTCTCCCCCAAATGTTTAGCACCTGTTCCACGTGAAATGCATTCTGTCAAAAGATGTACCCAAACCCAACTGTGCATAAAAATACTTAATACTTCTGTCCATATATTTCAGTAGACTTACACTCCACTTCTCACAAGAATCGACCTCGTCTCTGGGCCAAATCCAGCCTGCTCCAGATCAGGGATTTCTTCATTGACAATGTCTAATGCTTTCCCATCTTCATCATCAGACTGAAAAAGTGCCACTGATGACTCTATGAAATCCTAAGAGGCAGCACAGGAGTTAGAAGACAGGCTGTCACAGCTCATTCACGCTTCACAACATAAAACATTTTGGAAAAAGAGTTGTAGCCTGAAAGACAGTCTTTTATAAAGCAACAATGGGTCTTAGGTCCCTTGTGTGGATCTTTATGGGATATTTTAGCATTGAAACGTCTAGCTGGAAGCCTGCCAATCTGATATGGCATTCAGTGGTTTCCACTGAAGAGAGGAAGAACCTACTGCCCCTGAGCTCCATCCTCTCCTCTACAAGGATCACTAGAGTGCAAAGATGCCTGCATGGGAAAGAGAAGGGTTGGGGATTTAGCATTGATCTTCCAACAGCTTCACAAATGACTACTCCAAGCATTACCATGACCATGGTCTTTTACTTCAAGTTCTCCTTCCTCATCCCTTCCCAGTGGCAAGGCAATAATAATGGAGAAGAAAAGAGTGGGCAAGATCACCTTTCCAGCACAAGGGGTTTGTAGTTTTTTGGATACATCTGTTGTATGACTAATCACTATAGCTATAAAATAAATCCTGCATGACACTGTCATGTTCTCTTATCTTGCTTCATGCTTACAGCTAGCATAGCTGCTTGACCAGATTACTTGCACAGCTTCAGATTATTTGAATTTGGGTTTCAAATCTCCAACTTTTTAACTGCTTAGCAATTTTAAGCACACAGTTCAGTCACTGCTTGGGAAAATGGAAAACAACAATCCATTCACTTTATTCCTTTAACATTTAACAAAAAGCATGAATTCAATTAAATTTCAGTGTTTTTGAAACATTCAGCAATGATACACGTTGAAAATAAGCAAGTCTTGCGAACAACAGAAAAGGCTATCAAGCAAATACAAGAGCCAACACAGATTCACAAACACATGAGGACACCATCACAGGAATTATTACACTAAATACTTCCTGTTGCAGCTCTTAAAAGCTACCAACCAGAAAGCGGTATGCTGAAGGCTACACTGAGAAAACAAAGACTTACAACAATCAAAAAGCACTTAGAAATTACAGCCAGGCCAAGCATGCAGCCAGATTCATTTGGTCAGGTGAACCTGATCAAACAGGCTCTTTAGAGGACACCATGCCTTTGTACAGGATTCAATCACAATGAATAATGAAAACCAATTTTAGAATGAACACAATGCGGCTCAAGCTTTCTGCATTGTTTACAGGACACTAAAAAGTGATGGAACAAATTCTGTAGTAAAACTGGTTTTCCTACTATGTTGACCATCTCCTCCTTCTATTTGTTTAAGAAGTTGCAACTACTTAAGCTATACACAAGAAATTACAGTGCCAGGTCTGGCAAAATCATCATGAACAACTGCAGCTTCAGACTGCTTTTTAGAAAAAAAAAAACCCAAAACCCCTAGTGCAGTTTTAGTGCAAATGAAAACCAGCTACTCTTAACAGTCCTAAAGCAAGGACTTTGTAAGAGTTCCTGAAAAGCCATTTAGATCAAATCTGCACATAATTTCTTTGACTAAATTTTAAACACTGTAATATATCAAGAATTGTAATTACATTTAAAACATTTCAAATCCAGCCATCAGTTTTCCCTCCTCAAATTTTCACTACAGCTCTTACAATAAGCAATAGGAGAAATACTTAAAAACTGACTTTCAGACCAAGGCAAATCATTTTAGACTTGAAAATATTGGTGGGAAAGCTCCAAAGGCAACATACTCTGTTCCACTGAAAAACACTCAGAAACTTCGCTCTTTCCTTGATCATGACAGCTATGGGCAAACTCTAGTTTCACAGATCCTCTCATTTGAAACTGCAGAAAAGAAGCAAATGCAACTGTTCCCCAAACCAGCACACAGCACAAACTGCTGTCTGCCCTCAGGAACAAGCTGTGTATTTGACTCCAGTGTGTCCAATATAGATGCTGATAACAGAGCTGGCCGTACACTGGAAAAAACAATTCTACAAGTCCTTTCTATCTCTGCTTTCAAAACACTCCCTGAATCTCCACATTAGAGCTTGTGACTGTTCATAGCAGAAATATTCAAGACAGAAAAACTGAAAGCTCTTGCAATATGCCTACATGTGTGTACATCTTCACCAGTGGGTGGGGAGGAGTGACTTGCAACAGTGAGAGGGATCTCTTTCATGTGCAATGTCTGTCTAACCTTTCTGATTTGTCAGGAAATTAAAATTCATGCCTCAGCTCAACTGCAGTCACTGGTGTGTGTACAGAAACATGGGTTGGATTTTCCTAGCACTAATAAGCTCTGGTGGAACCTGTCATGTTGAGCGTCGTGGTGCAGGAACATCTGAATAGCTTTGCATAGTACTAAGCCACATTGACAGAGGTGGTACTGACACAGGATAATGAGGCACACCATACCCAGCCCAGCTCTCTGCAGAGCCATTTACGTGCTTCTGTACCACACTCCCTGCTTTGGGAGCATGGCACAAAGACATTTGATCTGACTCTACCTGGAGCTGACTCAGGTACACAGGGCTCATTAGCTTCAGCTTCATGTTGTGTGAGCCAGGCTAAATTGTTTTCAGGTCTGGGTTGGCCTTAAAGCCAACAGTCAAGGTCACTTGGTGTCACGCACAAGGGGAGGAAAAAAAAAAAAAAAAAAATCTAGCTGGATTGGCCCCTACATAAGACCACACCAGTGAGGACGTACGAAGAGCAGGGTCAATACCCAGCCCCACTCCCTACTTAAGCTGACTATGAATAATGCAACTGAGCTACATATTCCACAAAATCCTTCATCTTCTACAGAGACTCTTAAATTCATATGACTAAAACAGAATTTCTAGGGAAGAGCAACAAAGATCTGATATCCAGGAACATCCACACAGAGTCCAACACCATCGCAACCTTGACTGCACTTCTGACAGAATTTCTGAGATTACTGAGAAGAGTTAGTATGTTTGCTGTGCCTTAAGCACACAGAACTAGTTTTGGATATTTGCCTAGGTCCTCTTGCAAACAAGAGTTTGGTACTAAAATGTTTTTAAAATCCTGACCTTAAGTATTGTATACAAAGTGTATTGGTTTTGTGTGGCAAGGTTTTGGTAGCAGGGGGGTTACAGGGGTGGCTTCTGTAAGAAGCTGCTGGAAGCTTCCCCTGTGTTCGAGAGAAAGCCCACACCAGCCGGCTCTAAGACGGACCCGCCGCCGGCCAAGGCCGAGCCAATCAGTGATAGTGGTAATGCCTCTGTGATAACATTTTTAAGAAGGAAAAAAAGTTGGGACAGGGAGAAACAGCCGCCGGAGAGAGGAGTGAGAACATGTAAGAGAAATAACCCTGCGGACACCAAGGTCAGTGAAGAAGGAGGGGGAGGAGGTGCTCCAGGCACCAGAGCAGAGATTCCCCTGCAGCCTGTGGTGAAGACCATGGTGAGGCAGGCTGTCCCCCTGCAGCCCATGGAGGTCCACGGTGGAGCAGGTATCCACCTGCAGCCCGTGGAGGACCCCACGCCAGAGCAGGTGGGTGCCTGAAGGAGGCTGTGACCCCGTGGGAAGCCCGTGCTGGAGCAGGCTCCTGGCAGGACCTGTGGATCTGTGGAGAGAGGAGCCCACGGAGCAGGTTTTCTGGCAGGACTTGTGACCCTGTGGGGGACCCACGCTGGAGCAGTGTGCTCCTGAAGGACTGCACACCGTGGAAGTTTGTGAAGAACTGCAGCCCGTGGGAAGGACCCATGTTGGAGAAGTTCATGGAGGACTGTCTCCCGTGGGTGGGACCCCACGCTGGAGCAGGGGAAGAGTGTGATGAGCCCTCCCCCTGAGGAGGATGAAGCGGCAGAAAATAACATGTGATGACCGTAAACCCCATCCCCGTTCCCCTGTGCCGCTGGGAGGGTTTGGTAGAGAAATCTGGGAGTGAAGTTGTGCCCGGGAAGAAGTGAGGGGTGGAGGGAAGGTGTTCTGAGATTTGGTTTTACTTCTCATTACCCTACTCTGGTTGATTTGTAATAAATTGAGTTAATTTTCCCCAAACTGAGTCTGTTTTGCCTGTGACGGTAATTGGTGAATGATCTCTCCTGTCCTTATCTCGACCCGTGAGCCTTTTGTTATATTTTTCTCTCCCCTGTCCAGCTGAGGATGGGGGAGTGATAGAACGGCTTTGGTGGGCGTCCAGCCAGGGTCAACCCATCACACAAAGTCACCAAGGGAGCATATGGCAAGCCTGAACACAGACCTATGCATTACATGTCAGAGAGAGCAGTCAATCTGTTGGTCAAGCTGAAAAACAAAATGCCAGTGCCATTAGTCATTTTATTGGCAACTAGCTCATTGCCTTATTTATGCTACAATTCGAGGAAAAGTATTACTTCACTTTTATTATCAATATGTAGATATTGTTATATATTTATATGCCAATTTGAATGATACATGTTGATAGATGAATGCGAACAATACATGTTTTTAAAATGACTTGAGCATCCTGACTGTTCTAGGCCTGAGTCAAATTAAACACATGCATACACGTGGAAGGTCATCCCTGCTAGACACATGCGCAATTTTAAGCTTGTAATTATGTCCTTTGCCAAGAAGAAGATTTAAAAAGATCAATTTAAGTTACTCAAGTATCCTATGTATAGCTTGAAAAGAGAGAAAAAACAAGATTAGTCAGTAATCGAATAGGATTCTGCACATCCAGAATGAGGAGTTAGAAGAAAATTCCTGCCTGTTTTTCTCAGAAACCTGAAAATAAATTATTTAGAGAAAGCCATTTTTCTTCAGTTCAGTTTATTCTCCTATCTTTATTTTAATTATGTGATAGATTCTGATTATAAATACACCTTCTCCTAGGTGCTTTTCATAAAAATCAAAACTGCAAATTGTGAATTTCAGCACGGCCTTTTTGGGTTCACATTAACTTTTTTTTTTAAATAGACAACGACTTTGCTCTAAATGCCTATCTTCAAACTTCACAAAATCCCTGGCTCAGGAATATCACGTCTCTCCAGATGAGGAGATGAGTAATCTGAGTATACAAGACTGAGTAATCTCAGAGTGAATAATCTAATTTTCAAAAGCAGCCACTCTTTGCAGCTGTATTTAAAGATCACAGAGTTCCTATTATAATAAAAAAAATCCTCAAACAAAAAAAAAAAGCCAGACCAAATGAAATTATAAAGAAGTTCTAATCCCATGTTTCCCCATGACTGAAAAGTCTAACTTTCCTTCCAATACTGAACTCTGATATAGTTTTTATTATTACTTCATCTTTGCCCCCATTAAACACATTTTAGTAGCACGATTTTTTCACCATGATTATTTTTGCTGCCAAAATTTTCTGGCACAAAAATCACACAGACAGAGGGTAATGCTGTTTTAAGGCTTGCAACAGCTGCTGTGTTGAATAGCTATTTTTATTTTAATAAAAAACTGCACTGTACTTACGCATGTTAAACTTTTAAGAAAATTCTGTTCTCGAGATTCAAATAGGTTGAAATGCAGAAGTGAGATACTTGGAAAATCTGGCAGGTAGACAAGGAATTCTGCATAAAACATCCTTTGTACGAACTTTACAAAGACTATTTAGAACCTGCTTCTGCTTTACAATGTATACAGTACAGTCTAAATTTCAGCAAGTATGAAAAGAATGAGAATGAACTTGGATAAAAGATGGAATGACTAAACCCAAGAGAGCTGTACCATATATGAAGAATAACATTCCTCTTTATGTATAGAACTGTGCATAATTTGTGTGAAATTCATGGAAGTACTTACAGCCTGAAGGAACCGGAAAGACAGGAGGACACTGTCAGTTCCGCCCCATGAGTGTCTGTCTTCATAATCTCCCTCCTCCAGCAAGTACTGACGGCCTTTGTAGCGTTCCTTATTATAGCCAACCCATCTACAGCAACCATACAACAAAAGAAAGAGAAATAACTAAAAGCAAAACAACCTCACACATGATTTTCCATAACAAATAAAAGGGGAAGAGAACATCCTAACACTAAAATGAGTATCACAGACTCAGCTAACAAACAAAGCAATGCTTGTTGGAAATCACAACAGGCACCCACTAAAGTCTTCTTTGTGGATCAAAACCCCACCATGTGATTCTTTCTCCAACAACTGTTTATTTGTGTAACGCTTCTCCACGTACCTCCTCTCAGTCAGCCATATTCCCAATACCAATATTTGGTACTACAGAGGCTAGTACGCATCTAGTGGCCAAAACACTGTAAGCCACCAATTGTCACTGACAAAAAACAGCAGTAGATCTCTTTAGTGTAGTAATAAATGATGAGATTCTACCCTTGCTGGAGCTGGTGACAAAATTAATGGATTTTAGCAGAACAAAATTTCACCCGCTTATGTTGTTTCCTGCTCTAATCTAAAAACACATATACATGAATAGACAAGTGAATTGAATATATACAATGTATTGCATATATTTTAACACTAAGGGAATAAAACTCTTTAAAGTATTTTGAACAAATAGATAAGGCTCGATTAAAAGAAGGCATTTCCACATCAACTTTGAAAGCTCTAATGGATCTTAATTTGAAAAAGTGCTTCCCTCTCCTTTCTTGTAAGCATTTCTTTCATTAAAGCTCCCTTGTAAGTACTAGAACTGCTGTACAAATTCTGTTGGCAGTAAAATTTGGCAGGCAGGGATAGCTTTACTTTTAGTAGCATTTGGTTTACATTAATTCAGCTGTTTAAGTTACCACAGTATTAAAAATAAAAGCTGCCACAACAGACAGAAGGATGATTTTTAATAATTTGAGGCTTCCCAGATACCAAATACATAATGTATTTATGAACAGATTATTTGAGTATGCACAATTAAGTTTACTTTGAATTTAGTGCTTGTAAGATTCTGACAACAACCTGGAAGGACGTATGTTATTGAATCTTTATATAAAAGTATTAACATTGAGATTCCCTAAGGAAAAAAAAAAAAGTTTCTGAAAACTATTTTATTCCTATGCTCTTTGGCAGAAGCAACAATCCTGCATGCTTTCAAGCAGTCCTATCCTGTTGGGTCTTGGGAGAGGCTGAAAGAACAATGCGTGGGGTTGGTATCTCTCTAGAATAGCTGGAGCTGAGCCTACCTCGTGAGTAGTCCACCTAAGGACTGTGTTACACAGCCCTTTTTGTGCGTGTGAGTGTATGACAGAGAGAGGGGTGGGGCAACACAGAATCAATCCAAGGCCTCAACAAAGGAAAATAAGGGTAGATTCTTAATTCCAGATAACATGCAACAGGTGGCAAAGGAAAACCATTAAAACAATAAAACAGTTTATAGATTTCAGAGACATTAAAATGTCAAATTGAAGACTGACCACACCTACCCAAGGTCATTTCAGTAAATTAAGTAGAGACTACCAGAAGTATAAAGCAATATAAATTAAAGCTCTGTGTGAATGCTGTCATTAAGCCCAAAGTGGCCTAGTTTATTGGCATCCAAATTGTAAATACTGACTTCACACCTCTCACACACTTAATCTTCCTATATTCCCTTAGATAGATAACCCATGTGGAGAGCTGGTTTTATCCAAGGCTGATAATTGACAAAAGAAATATATATTCCTTTCTTTAAAAAAATATTTTACCAGTGAGAGATTCTAATCAACCTTTGGGTAGCACTTCTTAGCATTTAGTTATGATTTCCTATTTTAAAGTAAATAAATATAAATGTGAAATATACTTACACTCCACCAATTACACGTATTGATCCAATTTCCTGAAACTCCTCTTCACTACCAAACAGAGCTGGAACAGAACTGATGTTTTCTGAAAACTCTTTGGACCATCCTCCAAAGTGGGTTTTCTCATATATTATTATCTAGAAAACATGATGTTGAACAATGCCTTGAATATGCCCTGAATAGTAATTTGAAGTTTGGGGGTGTGTACTGCTACAGTATGTGGAAGACACCGTTTTCCCCCTCCAACAAGCCATCACTATGAAGAAAATGCAGGGTTGTGTTCTCAGCCCTTCTGATTCCCGAGTGCCCTAGAAGCTGAAGAGACCCTATCTGGATTTAGATAGGCTTGTCAGGCTATTTGCAGACATTTCCACAGAAGGATAGTTGTTCACACAATTCTATATACATAAATGCACTCTGTGGCTATATGATTGTGACTTATCCTGTAATCCTGTGCCTGGGCAGTGTATATTAGCCTGCAGTGAATCCTAGCTGGTCACAGCTAGACACACTAAGCTTAATCCTTCAAAAGTAGACAAGAGGTCTTTCTCTGTACTTTGCTGGAGTTATTTCAGTGGCTGCAGTTAACATGCCCTTGAGGTTCGTCATCTGTCAAATCACACAGATCAGCTACTAATAGTATTAATACTTATTGCAATATTTATTAGAAAAATGCCCGAGTCTTGCATGTATTTGTATAGTTAAAAGTTACCGAGAGCATTAGAATTTTTGTGGAGAACTAGAAAAAGGAGGGAAAAGGAACAATAACTCTGGATTAGCTTTCTGCTCCTCAAATCACAGAAGGGTCATGGTCTGACTCACAACTCTAGTACTGGGATTGGGTATAGGAAGGAAGGGCCTTTATTCCTGCCCTCTTCCTCCCCTCGCCCTCATTTTTTTTAAACTTGGTACGTTAAATGGGAAAATCTCTCCTGATCCCTTTCCATTACAGTGACTGACGTGTCAGTCAGAAAAACTCTTTATTTTGTAAAACCTTTACAATAGTTCTATAGCAAATTACATTCTCCTAATATATAAAAACAAATTACTACTACTTTTACATCTCATGAAACACTAGTAAGAAAGTGGACCTCACAAAATTAGTGAATTTTTCTTCAGCAGCAAACACTGAATACTTAATCAAACATCACATACCCAACAAAAAGAAAACAGCTTAAATAAATTTTTATTTCCAATGTGCTCATATTTTATTCTCAATGTCCTCAGTGCTTACCTTGACATTCATTGGCATTTGTACCTTTAGTCCACCCTGAAAAAGAGATGGGGAAAAGAAAAGGTATTCATATAAAACTTAAAGTTATGCTTTGACGCATATTTTATAGTACTATCAGAGCATGAAGTTTTTGTAATTATATTCACCATTTTCAGTTGGCCAAATCAAACACTAATTTAAATACTCTGAAAATTCATAAAAGCCAGGGACACTATAAACCTGACCTACGAACAAATCAGTGCATTGACAAGCCTGTAGGGGTGCAAGCAATTTAAAAATATTCCTTCATTGTCTATTAGCAATCTAAAGCAAACATTTACTATGTGTTTTTAAACTAAATTTTAAAAATTGGTCCATATAAATAACTTTTAAAGCTTTGTTGTATGTATTTCAAGTTTCTTAATCACAAATGGTGGAACATTAAGAAACTATCAACACCGGAAAAGAGAGAAAATATAGGCAGACATATTCATGTCTATGGTCAAAGAACAAATACAGCAAATGCATTTTGTCTGGAAATGTTAGTGAATGATGTTCTCTGAGGGAGTAAGACACCTATCTCCCACAAGCGAATAAAAAGACAGCTGTTGGGTCTTATTCCTTTGTGGCTTTTAAACTCTTTTTCTGTAGGCTTGCTATGTGTACAGTATAAGTACTTGCCACACCCTTCCACACTTCTTTCATATTTAGATCTACATGCTGTCTATCCAAACAAAAATTAGCTGCACCTCCCAAGTGGTGCAGTGGTAGATTCTAGCTGTACCATTAAAAAGAAAAAATCAACAACTTCTGAAGAGCTTTTTTAGTTAATGGTGTTGGCTGCAATACAACTAAAAGCCTTTCAGTTCTGTCTTATTTGATCTGTACTTAACAACAACAGTTTCCCAGGAAGATGTCCTAGTGAATCAGGTGCTCCCTCTGACTATGTGGTCTTACTTGGGCACACACAGAAGCCCAGCAAGCCATGGCGACTGCTGTGCCACTACAACACTGCAAATGCACCATGGCGTGAGATGAGTGTTACATGTATAAGGATTAACCCTGAAAGGATGTTGGAACCTAAGTTATATTTAGATCAAAACCTCCGGGGGAGCAACAATAGGAAAAGGAAGGCACACAACTTATTAGAGAATTGTGAAGTCCTCACCATTTTTAAGGGACGCAGAGATTTTACATCTGCTGAAGGAATTTCAGATGGTGAATCGCATTCTTCCAAAACCTTCATCTCTCCCTTGTAATTAAAATCTGAATAAGCAAGCCATCTATAACAATAAGGATAAAGGACTTAATCTCATTAGATAGATTAAAAATACAAAGAACCTATTAAAATTAATTTCCTTTTTGTACTCATAAGAGCTACATAATGTGTTTTAGATACTGCCAGCACATCAAAACGAAGCTATATTTAAATACACTGGCAAAATCAATGCTAAGAAGATTAGATACTTTTTCTCAGTCCAAGCTAAACATAAATGAAAGAGAAGAAAATTACTAATTTGTTCCCTTACTTTAAGACGCCAGTTTGTTACACTATGAGCATACAAAACCAATGTCAGTATGGAGGATGAGACGCACCAAATTTTACCTAGGATTGTCACCTTAGGAATTAAAAGGCTTCTAACATCAATCCCACTTTGTTTTTTCAGTGGAAGTTATTACAATAAAATGATTTACAGCACTCCTCTGGAAAGCAGGCTATTGTAATTTTGACATGAAGATTAAAAATGCTTAGACTCCTTCAGACTGTTTTAAGTCAAAAAGAAAGCTGAATGTAGAAGTTGGACACAGGGTTAGTAGACCAAATAAGGAATGGAGGAAGAGGCATTGAGCCATATGGAAAATTATTTTCTTAAAACTACACACACAGACCATAAGCAGTTATAATACTAAGTTCTATCAAAACTAAGACAAGACTGTTTTTAATTCCTTCACCACCTCAAGCTTCACAGACATATCACAAGACTGTGGGAAGGAAGGCTTGGCTCACAGGGAAAGGCAAACTCAAGACTCTTAAAGCAGAATAGCTAATGTCATTCTGCAACGATTTATGAGAAGAGGCGCAGAACGCCCAAACTTCAGGAACTGTGAAGTGTTGGGCATTTACCCAGGAAACAGGCTATTCTGCTCAATACAGGAAATGCTGGACTACCAAGGGGCCTGTATCATATTGCATCACCTCTCTCCAGAAAGTCAGGATATGGCTGTAGCTTGAGAAATGCTGGGATGATGTAATATTCATTTTCTGGTATTCAGCCATAGTGTTATAGTTATAACAGGGTAGGTGACTAGGGAGATAGTATTGTCCAATGAACTAAAAGCCAATTATAGCTGAGCTACTGCTTCTATTTATAAAGCTACTCAAAGATGGAATTAACAAAGACTTCTGTCAGCAACTAGAAGAAAAATGCTTTCAAAAATTTGGTTCCACTACCAGAAGCCCACAAAGCACAATGCTGGAGTGTAGAGCTGGCAATGTCTAGTGTATGTTAACTGATTTGTAGCAAAGCCCCCCAAATATTGTTCTTATCACTGCCTGAATTTCATCCCATGATGTTACTCCTCCACCGGCTGGCAAATTGCTATTAAAAAGATTCAGTACTCACACTCCTGATTTGACTCTTATAAAAGGGTTTTTCTCAACATCCAGTTCTTCTAAATTGGCAACTGCACTCTGTATGCAGATAGGAAGTCCCTCTGTACCACCAGCTGCCAGGCAGAACTCTACCTCTGGAACACCACAGTCCTGCGGAAACAAATCAAAGGATAAGGCTTACACACGCTTGCAGAGTCTGCCCCATTGCAGTGGGGGAAGGACCAGCAATGTTTCCTTCTTTTTTCCCCTGTCTTCTCACCCTTCTAACCTAACTCCAGGCTTCATATGATGGAAGGGTTTTAGTTTGTTTTTTTTTTTTTAAATGAAGACTGGAATTTTTAGAAAAGCTAAGGGAATTAGATTTCCAGCTCCCACCAACTTTCAAAGAAAACTACGCATTTATGCGTGTTGGGCTACTTTCCAAAAGCTCAGTTTAAATAATCTCCAAGTAAAGGATCTGACAATATTTACTGATAGACAAATCATGCATATAATACTGCTGACTTTTTTTTTCTAAAGACAGTGCTTCCATAACACGCATATAGATACATATGATGCATGCATAACTAAAACTTTCTAGAAATATCTACTACATTCCTGCCTCCCTCCCTTAGTGGTAATTAGGCTCTGTAATGTATCCGACTATAGTTTCAAGCCATATGAGTTCAATTTTCTGCCATGCCAAGTAATCTACTGCATTTTAGACAAAGAAAAAAAAAGAACAGTACTAGAAAAAGTTTGTTTTGTTAAGTAGACACTTGAGCAATTTTCCTGTTACTACCGAGCAACAACCTCTAATACCTTACTGGAGGTTTTCTACTGATAGATTCCATGCTGGAGAAAAACTTGTTGAACACATGATCTTCTCTAGAATTTGCAGGGATTTTATTGAACCACACTTGTTTCATAATATTTATATAAAATGCATCGCCAATACTTTCTTTCCCAGCATTCAAACACATCATGAATCAATGAGGATCTTCTGTAAGGCCCTGCTTCAGCAGTGCATTACAGAACAGTCCTGTTACAGTGAAACGCGGCTCACATGCTTACAGGGTTTGCTCAGCTGTAGCTGGAAACCTTCAGTTCTCGGTGGTAACTTCACAGCACCCTTACCCTTATCATCCTGACCCACGGCCCTGCTTGCATTAGGCCAAAGGGCTTGGACAGCATAAAGAGACCCCAAAAGTCCTAAACATGGAGGAAAATGCCCCTTGCATGTGCACTAGAGAAGAGTGATGAGAAGCTGTCCCTGAGGGTGCCCTCAGAGAAGCACGTGGTTACTGGATCTGTTGAGGACCCAGGCAGGGTCACATCGTGACAGAGTTCCCACACGGCCTGTAGCTTTTGCCAGACACAAAAGGCAAAACACAAGAGCTTGCAGAGAAACCCAGCAACAGGGCACAAAAGCTCTTAAAGTTACAGCACCTCATCTCATGACAACACCTGTACGCTCTCCTCTTTCACATAGGTTTTTAAGTGGAGCTTTCAAATGATGGAGTAACATCCCACCTAGAAATACACTTCCTCTTGGTTAGCAAAGTTTGTTCAGTAGTTATTTAACTGTCAGCAATATATGTAGCAATTATAATAGATGGACTTCAAGATATTATTTCACCTTCCTCATGAGACCTGAAGTAACACAGTATAATGTTTTGGCAACTGTCCCTCATGCACAATTGTGTTTCCTCTGTATTGTACCTTGCAAACAATGCACACTTGTCATGGTTTAACCCCAGCCAGCAACTAAGCACCATGCAGCCGCTCTATCACTCCCCGTCTCAGCTAGACAGGGGAGAAAAAAATATAACAAAAGGCTCATGGATTGAGATAAGGACAGGGAGAGATCACTTAACCACTTACCATCACGGGCAAAACAGACTCAACTTGGGGAAAATTAACTTAATTTATTGCCAAACCAGAGTAGGGTGACTAGAAATAAAACCAAATCTTAAAACACTTTATCCCCACCCCTCCCTTATTCCTGGGCTTAACTTTGCTCCCAATTTTCTCTACCTCCTCTGCGCCAGTGGCGCAGGGGGATGAGGAATGGGGGTTGCAGTCAGTTCATAACATGTTGTCTCTGCCGCTTCGTCCTCTTCAGGGGCAGGGCTCCTCACACTCTTCCCCTGCTCCAGCGTGGGGTCCCTCCCATGCGACACAGTTCTCCATGAACTTCTCCAACTCGGATCCTTCCTACGGGCTGCAGTTCTTCACGAACTGCTCCAGCGTGCATCCCCTGCAGGGTCACAAGTCCTGCCAGAAAACCTGCTCCGTGGGCTCCTCTCTCCACAGGTCCGCAGGTCCTGCCAGGAGCCTGCTCCAGCGTGGGCTTCCCATGGGGTCACAGCCTCCTTTGGGAACCCACCTGCTCCGGTGTGGGGTCCTCTCTCCCTGGGCTGCAGGTGGAGATCTGCTCCACCGTGGACCTCCATGGGCTGCAGGGGGACAGCCTGCCTCACCATGGTCTTCCCCACAGGCTGCAGGGGAATCTCCGCTCCGGCGCCTGGAGCATCTCCTCCCCCTCCTTCTTCACTGACCTGGGGGTCTGCAGGGTTGTTTCTCTCACATGGTCTCACTCCTCTCTCTGTCTGCAGTTTCTGTGCTGCAGCAACTTTTTTTTCCCTTCTGAAATGTTATCCCAGAGGCATTATCTCCACCGTCACTGACGGGCTCGGCCTTGGCCAGCAGTGGGTCCGTCTTGGAGCCGGCTGGTGTTGGCTCTGTCAGACATGGGGGAAGCTTCCAGCAGCTTCTCATAGAAGCCACCCCCGTAATCCCCCTGCTACCAAAACCCTGCCACGCAAACCCAATACAACACTATTTGTTTTTAGAACAAAAACTGCAATACCAGAATTTTTGTTTTCAGATGAGCAAACCCAGAAAAACTAAGAAAAAAGACTTTCCAGTACAATGCTACTTTATGGCAAGGTGCTAAGGAACACCATTCCTCAATTCTAAGTGTATTGCTAGACAAGTTTAAAAAAAAAAAATAATCAAATTTCCTTATAGTTTCCACACATATATATCTCTCTCTTATTAAATCACAGTTAAGAAATATTTGAAGTTTGTGTTTTTTTCTAATAATACCTGATATGTGATAAGGCTGAAAGCTATGAATCCAACAGTAAAGCTTGATATGGAAAATTGGAGGTTGCACCTATAAGAATTCCACAAATAATGATGCTAGACTCTTAATGGTTTCAGATAAATTCTGAAACAAAGTCCCTACAAGACTAGGCAAGTGGCAAAATAAAGTACATTTGCCTGCGGGCTCAGACAGAATATGAGACAGAGTATGTTTAATTTTAATTCAGTAGGTTTGTTTTTTTGTTGGGTGGTGGTGTTTGGTTTTTTTTTTTCATTTGAAGATTGGAAAAAGCCAGTCTACATTTTCTTTTCAAGTCTGCTCTCCTGACTCTGAAGCTCAGAAGACAGGCTCCACCTCAAGAGATGAAGAATGTAGCAGTTCTCCAAAGGGTAGGTAAAGCACAAGCACTCATAATAAAATCTCTCCTATTTATCACCATCTCTCTCCAGCTCAATTTTGACAGTCATAAAAAAAACTCTACTCATTGTGATGGCATTTTTGTGTGTACTAGAGTAAGCCCACAAAGTCCTTTCACGAAGTGTTACATAGTAAACCGAGGTCTTCATCAAAAGCAATTCAAATATCTGTTTTTAAAGGTAGTAACATGTTCAAGCAAGAAGTACATTATATTTTCTAAGCACATTTTTGTAAAGTCACAAATATATATTTTGACTTAAATACTGAGTTCAATTTACATATATTAATTCACAGACTGCAGAAAACGGCAAAATTTATTATTACTATATGAGGTGAACACTATGTATTTGCAGATGTACACTCGAATACTATGCCATTAATTTATATAATTTAAGCATGTAAACTTTAGCTTGCTAAGTATTTACCGTAGCATGTTCATATTTGCCTGAGCATATTTAATGGGTATCATTACTTTCAGAGGCTTCTTTAACATTCCTAATAAAGCCACCATCTTTAGAAACAAAGTGAAAACCACACAAATACGATAGCATTCAGGTTGGGAACTAGATCCTTCAGTCCGAAGCCATTTAATTTGCAAGGCGTCAAGATTTTGAAATAAGATACCCACATGCAAAACTATTACCACAGTGTTTCAGGCCAGATCCAAAACTGGAAAGTTTCCTCCCTATAACCCCCTGGCCCTGCCAACCCCATCACAAACAGTAAAAACTCATGTCATATTCATTATCCTACTGACACATCAGGCAAAACCAAAATAAAAAGTACAGCAAACAGATTAGGTAGCTGTGTTCATTTCCAATGATAATACACAACCAGCAAATGCTTAGGTAGGTCACAGCCTCCGGGCATCCCACTGTCTTCCTTTACTCTGCGGTAGTCTCCTACCTCCACGCAGTCATCCTTGGAGTGCCCATGCTTCCCTCATGGTCTTTTGGGAGCAGAGATGTTTACAAAAGCACAGGGAATACTCGTACTAGCTTGCAGAGAACAGACACTTCCAAAACAGTAACATGGCCCTCAGCCGAAGGGGTTAAGACGACCCTCAAGACTTTAGCATGAAATACTACTCTTAGGTGCCATCTCCCCCATTTTCCTAGTCCAACCAAGAGCTCCACCAGAATTGAGACCTAGGGCCTTCGACCCCCTCAAGGTGGCCTCGGCTGTCTACCCTTCTTCTGGATCTAGGGTTACAGCCCTAACAGCACTAGCAGGGCTAAATAATTTCAGCACTGTTAGGTCTTCTCCTGTAAGCTGTGGTGACTGAAGTTATCAGAATAGCCTATTTAAAGCAGGTAGCCTTTCGTGTCAACACCAGGACAAAGAATGACTAAAGTCTGGCTTCTTAAGCTAAATGCGAAAACAATGATGAGAGAAGAGTCTATTGAAAACCTGGCCTAATTAGTTCTGGTATTCACATGATTGGTTTTTAATACAGTCTAGACACGCATCTTACTTTTAATACACGTGTCCTTAGGACACGTCAGCTTCTGCAGCAATTTTTAAAATCTTACTCTCTGTTAGCCCTTCAGCCTTTTTTACCCATTCGTAATTCTTTCTCCCAGTTCTCCTGCTTTCTACCACTCTTGCTATCACCCATCACCATCAAACCAAACTACAGAACTCAACAGGACAGGTAGTAAAATAAAATAATAATAAGGAAATTAATGATTATTGTCCTGTAAAAACCAAAATAGAAAATGAGGTAATCTGAAGCTGTTGGGTGTCTTCCTATGGCATCTGACAAAATAGTCCCTGCTTGGATTAATAATTTTTTATCACCTAGCAAATCACACAAACAAAAGAAACACACCCTTAATGTAATACTGTGAACATTCCCATTACAAAGAGCTTTGCTTAAGGAGAGTCCGCAAGGTATCCAGTTATTCCCTGCCTAACCATCTTGCAGACAGTGATTATAAACTGCTGTTTCAAATCTCTTGTCACCTTGCAAAACAGTGGTTTACAAGATTACTCCAGAATGGAAACATCAGCAACTCTTCTCAGCTCTTGTTTTTGGGAAAGTAACATTTAGCACCCTCTTTGGGCTTCTAGAAACAGAAAAAACCCTCCAATTCCATAAGATCAATATATGCAGAGAACTGACTTGGCTAAACAGACTATGCTGCAGGAGCTGCAGTGAACCTGCTTGTGCAGGCAGATTTTGCTAGGCAAGTCAACATGAGTCTAGGCTTAGTGGAATTCTGACTCCCCATTACTTCAGATAGGTCTTCATTTTATAGTTGCATGATCTGTTCCTTTGGGATCTTTTTTCCCCTTCCTAAATTTCTTCAAATTAAACACACATGGATACATCTAATGCATATCCACAGTAAGTCAAGCCACAAGCTAACCACAAAGCTAACAAAATCTTTGCTTTTTGTGGAGGCTTGAAGCCAAATCAGAGCACAAAGCTACTGGCAGACTGTTTCTCAGCAAACTAACATCTGCCAGTAAAAAATAAAAATAATATTAAATGTACCTCCTACAGTTTCTTTAGTAAACATCTGTTATCCTTTTCTTGGCAAGCCATTTTGTTCTCAAATATTTAGCCAATTTTCAAATCTGCTAACTCAAGGCATCTGAGCAGCCATTAAACAAGCACCATAAAAAGCCACTTGAAGAATCAGAACACAAACCAGACAGCCTGGACACAGAGCCAGTACGACCAAACTATGCAGGAGAAAAGCCACTGAGCTACCCAGCCTATGATAAAGAGCATGACAGTAAAACATGTGATCCTGCAGATCACATACACATGAGCTACCTGAAAAAGAAACAGCTATTTGTCAATTAAAAACAATGCCTATATTGTTTACAATAAATAAATAAATAAATAAGGTAGCACTTTGGCAAACTACCTTCTAAAAGTAGTTCCACAGCAGCTGAAGTACAACCTAAAAAAGATGGATGCTTTCATGAATCAAAGTTGAGAGGACAAAACCCGGCTTAGTGAGTTCCACACCCACACTAGCTCCGTACAGCCCTATGGACTAACAGCAAAAGTCCTCTCAACCAACCACCCTGTTTAATTTACACGAGAAAGTGTCGATTACTTAACTACTGTACTGTAACAAAGCTCTCCGTGTTCCATACGAATGAACCACATACTGGAAGAAGAACAATGCTCGAACCTACTTAGCTGTATTACAAAGATTTTTATCAAGCATGATGAAGCTAACCACAGTCTTTCCTATCCACAAGTTTTCTTTGATACCCAAGACACACCCAGCTTCCCTTGGCTTCACACCATAGTTCCACATGTTATTGTGGAATTTCTTTAATTATTTAGCTGCCTTCCACATTAGTGATCAATATTCATATTCCATATTGGTCAAATGCTTTTAATTTTTTTAACTCAAATAAATGTGAACTTCATTATTCATGCCCTCAGCCAGCCTCTTTTGAATTTATTTATTGTTAAGTCTTTAAGAGAATGAAAAAGTATTTCCAATTATGACATTATCCCCCTTGTATTGATGACAAAAAGGTTATCAATTTTAAAATGACCTCTGTACCAGCAGAGAACAGAGAAACACCATTTTTTCTGGAAAACTTTCATGTTTTGATACAAATGATAATTCACTTGCAGTAAAGGGCCATTGCCCTGTGAATAACGGGAATGTTATGCTAAACAACAAGAGCACTAAGTCTTCTTAAATCACAAGATCTGGTAAATATATTCCTCATTCACTGAATAACAATGGGTGTATTATATTTAGTTTTAGGCATTTGATTCCTATCTTTGCAACAAAACGCCTTTGAAACTCCTAGCTGTACACAGAGCCAGATGCTGTAGGTGTACCACTTGTCCACATGGAAACCCTACAGATGGCACAAAGCCGTAGAGGCAGCGACAGTAATTTTTGGAGGCTACGCTGTACAAATGGGATTGGACACGCACCTACTAACTTCTGAAACAGAAGCCCTACAGACACAGTAGATAAGCTTAAGCTTAAGATAAACACTTTGAAAAATACGAATTGATCTCATTTAATTTCAATTAACCAGACAGGTAAACATCTAAAAGCAGGGGAGTCACTGTGTCAGGTAAAGGTGGTGGCAAAGAAAGATAATCCATCTGCTCACTACCTTCAAGAAGAAAGGGAAATTTAGCACAGCAAAAGCCCTGGAATTTATCTTGAAGGTGAAAAATGTGATTCATAGCAAATTTGAATAAAATGAGAAACATAGCATGCACACATTGTCCATTGCTAGTAATACACCACTACTGCGAACAGAAATTAATTATGTATGTGAGTATATTATTAACAAAGTCTATACCTTTGTTACATGTTTGATTGAACCAACTGTGAGGTTTCTTTGATGATGTTTCATGCCCGGGAGATCCCAAAGATGATCCAGCACAGCCTCTCCTTCTTCTAGTACATACTTCCGACCCTGGAACTTTGGTTTCTCATAAAAAATCCAACTGTAAAAATAGTATAATGAACTGAGTTGTTGCTGTTAGGTAAGACTGTATTTATACAGCACATCTGCTGGAAAGTTCAATAATGAGCTCTTCTTATCAAGCCAACCATCACACCTTTCTTATGCTGTCCCTCAGTAGTCACATTCACTGTAGATAAATATGGGGCTTGTACTACTGTGCTTTAAAAGTAAAATACACAGTTCTCCTCCAGGATGTAGATTAACATAATTTAAAATATTAATTGTATAAAAATACAGCTCAAACACAATGTAAATAAAAAGCCTTATTTTACCAGAACAAATACATTAGACATATCAGAACATGTCCTGTTCAGGCAGATACTATGCAAGATATAAAACATATACATACTAATAATGGCATTTCTTAGTATTTCTTAGGACGTGAAAGAAATGTATGAAAAAACAAACAAGGCTGCCTCAAAACTGCATAAATGTGACATGCATTGTTACTATGGCTGACAGAAACAACTACTGTAAGCGCCACCAATTAAATTCCAATGCAACAACTGACATGGTCCCAGTCCCAGCCCCAGCTTCCCAAAGCAAACTGAGAAACACTTGGAAAATCTACCTTAAAAGCATTTGTATAATCCTTCTGTATCCACATTCCTCTAAATGCTACATTACAAACAGCAGCTGAGATTGTTCACTTTATGGTCCTTTTGCAACAGATACTGTATAATGAAACTGAACTGTAAAAAAACCCCCATTTTCTTTGGCATACACATGCTTCTAGTGATGATTATGGCTGTACTGTTTCAGCAGTTCAGGCAAGAAGTCTAAATGTACTTGCGGTTCTATTAGAAACTTTCTGTTTGAAGCTAGATCCCAGGAGAAACAATGTGGTTTTTTTTGTACTGCAGCATTTGAAGCCCTGTTTAATGCTTTTTTCATTGGTATCAGTCTAATTATAAAGAAAGAAAAAGACACTCTTGCAGATCAGATGTGTGTCATAAATAAAAGAAATGAAAATACAAGAGAAACACATACACAGTCTTTTGGACAGACTCTATTTAAATATGACCTGGATTTCTTACCATCCTCTAATTATCCTAAGTAATGCTCCAATGGGAAAGATCCAGGACGTGGTATTTAGCACATCCGAATGAACTTCTTGTTTACTTTTGTCACCATAAATATCATAAATAATAATCTGAAACAACATACAATGCATACGAATGAGGGCCCATTTCAACATACAATGCAGACAGTTATTTTTGCTTGGAATAAAACCTATTTCACTTTGTGCCCACTCAACTGATATGCTACACATTTTCTTCTTTTATGAAACACTCTACTGAACTAAAACTGGAATTGCTTACAGAAATACAGTAAAATTACTGGTGGCAGGATTTTTATAAATACAATCTCATTATTAGCATGTGCAAGCATGTGCACCATTAAAATAGAGAAAACTAGACTAACAATTTCTGGTGCTTTCCATTCAAAAGTTTTGGTATAATAAATTATTCCATTTATCATATTGATCTATGTGACAAGTTCTGCTTACCCTTCCCGGCCTTGGATTGTATTTGAGACTTGCCCTGTCAATGAGGTTCTGAAATTGAAAGGACATGGAAAACAACTATTAACATCTACAACAGTAGCACAAAGCATAGACAGATTATTCTGGGTCCACTATTCCTATAACTGTATGCAACTGTCACTAGGAGAAGCAACCAAGATTTGTTTCACTGTCATTCAGAGTTAGTGTAAACAGTTTAACAGAATCAAACAATCAGCTGAAACAGCAAGTGAAGGAAAGGAAAGGAAGAACCATTATGGAAGTTACAACTTCTGGAAATATATTACCTTTTCCCAGCAAACAATCAACTGCATGTCTTAACAGTGGCAAAACCAAAAGAGACCTCTAACACAGACTGAAATATTGCCAACTTCATGGAAATACTTTCTTCTTCAGTTATGCATTTGGTCCATGTGGCATTTTCAATTTCTAAATATTGGGAGAACTGTTTCCATAGCCTCACCTGCCATTGCCTTAAATAAACTAAAAAAGAAATGCTAGTCTACGCAAGCAGCTATACTACTTACTTGCTAACTGAGCTACAACTTGTAGAAGACTCTGTAATGAAACAATCAAATAGCCCAGTAAGCAGATATTTCTATTTTTTGGACAATACAGCTCTACTAACCTCAGAAGTGGAAGAAATGAAAGAACAATTTTCATACAAAAGGCAATTCCATCATCTTCAGGTTGTAATGTCCTTAACATGGACAAGTCTGTGTTTTGCTATTATACAGACTTGCTATTAGAAATATTTTCCTATTACATTTTCTCTTCACATCTTCTCTTTAACAATTAAGTCACTTTCATCTGTGTGCTGAACCAAGAATACTATGTTTTAAAAATTATTTTGACAAGGCTTTTTTTCTTTTTTTAAACTATGGTCTTAAACAGCCTAATTACTTTTGTTTATGGTAAAAGAATTAACCTTTAAAAGGGAGGAGGGAGAATAGGGAGACAGCAATTTTGAATCTGGGCTAATCACTTTGATTATTATTATTATTACGTGACATGACATCTTACCGTTGACAGTTCTCCCAGTTTTGGCATGGTGTTGTCTTGAGACCAATGAATCTTTGGCTGCAACATATCCTGGAGAATGCTTCCAAACCTGGTCCCCTTCTCAGAGGAGCAATTGTTGGCAGATTTCAAATACTGGTAGTACACACTTGTAGGAGGACACTTTAGAGCTGCATCAGCTTTCTGTGAAACTGGCTTAAAAGGTGTTTGACTGGGAGAAGCCGCATTTGGAAACAGTTCTGGTTGCTCCTTAGAGTCAAGTTGTTCTTCTGAAAGAAAAAGTGATTGTTCAGGAAACAAAGATCTATTCTGGTCATTTGACTGAAGTGTTGTTTTTACTTTCCCTCTCCATTGACTGGAAAGACAGTCACCTTCTCTCTCAACATCAAACATATTTTCTTCATATGATGATTCTTCCTCCTCCTCGTCCTCCACTCCCTCTTCCTCCTCCTCTTTACTGAGCTGAGTAGTAAACTGTAAGCGCTCAGAAACTGACTGCAGAAGGGAAAGCACAGAAGCATGGTCAGTGTTTTCTTTAGATATTCCACTAGGATGGCCTTCTGGCGACACGTCTGTGGAAAGCAAGTCTTCTTGGGAGCTGTCATCTTCATATATTGGAGACAAAGAGAAAGGATATACTCTATAGCGCTTGGCCTCCACACTCAGAAATGACTCCGAGCTACGGCTATCTGTTGCTTCATTCAACTTGTTATCCTTCCCATAAAGACATGCTAACTCATGGTTATTCTTTGCTCTTTCACACATGAGATGATCTATATTATCTGAAGGCAAATCAGAAGAAGAAAGCGAACCAGTCTGTGTATTGTCAGTTGAGACAGATTTGTTCTCAGTTTGAAGGGTACCTTCATAAATGATAGTAAAAGAATTGTTCTCCCATTGTTCAATTAGTGGGGAAAAGGCTACAAGATCTGTCGATTCCTTCATGTCATCGCTGCAGCCCAGACCATTTCCTTCAAGCTGATCATTTCTCTTCATGTCTCGATCCTTCATTTGTACCTTTTTCAGATTATCATTATTTTTGGCAAAGACTGTGTTGAAGCAGTTTTCCCCTTCACTGTCCTTTCCCATAACAGAAAATTCATGTACAATGAACTGTGTGTTTAATCCAGTATTAACCTCTACTATTTCACTTAACCCTTCTGCTAGTTCCTCCTTACTCTCCACTGCCTTTGAATCTTCTAAGGTTGCTTTTACTTGTGCAGGTACTTCTGCAGCCTCTCTTCTGCAGTGTGCACATGGACTGTCCTCTGCACTGCTTTCCAGAGATTCCTGAGGACTGCTTTTGTCTTTGGATTCACTCTGCATGCCGATACATTCTTCATCAGGCATAAAAGATGACAAGTTAATATTTACAGTTGGCAGCAACGTGCATTCTGGCATATTTGTATTATTGCATGAATGTTTTAACTGCAATGACAGAAGCATCTCTTCAGTCACAGTAGCATCTCTATGTATTAAATGTAAAGATCCATCAGATTTTCTACTAGTTGCTGATACTCCAGCTTTGCCACACATCTCTGTTGCAGCCTGATGTTCACACAGCTTTCTATCATGTCTCTCTTTTGCTGGTGTCCTAAGATCTGATTCTAGCCTTGCTGAACTACCAGTGGGTAGAAATCCATTTGTTTGACATGGAAATGCATTATTTGGTATCTTTTCACCTCTTTGGGGCCAATCTATGCCATTTTCCATACTATTTGGAAGCAAAGGAGGACCTGAGCAATCTATGCCATTTTCCATACTATTTGGAAGCAAAGGAGGACCTGAGCAATCTGCCTTTTCACAGTTTACCGTTACACTACAAGTTTCCTTATTCTCTGTTGGTTCCTGTGTTTTGGCAGGTAACTTCATATCAAAGTTTAAAATTTTTGGTGTTTCAGCCTTAGGTTTAGGCTCAACCTTTTCAGAAGGCCTTTTATTCTCACTGCCTTGCCACTGATTGGATGCCAGTTTTTGTTTAGCTGAGTTAATGACTTCATCAGCTGTTTCTTTTGCTTTTAGTGTTAGTGCACTATGTAGGTCAATTTTCTCAGGGATGTAAGATAGCATCTTTTCATCTTGATTATTTGTATCCACTGTTTCATTTCCTGCAAATGAAGATGAGCCTCCTCCACTGCTCTCATTAAAATGTTTTAATGACTGCACAGCTGACTGGATTTCTTCTGCTTCCAGCTGCACAGTTGCAGCTTTCTGATCATTTAGAATATCCATATTTATGAAACTATCCTTACTCCCACAAAACTGGCAGACACCAATGGCTTGTTTTGCTATTATTTCTTCTACAGCCAAGTGTAAAACTGAGTCCACTATTTCCTCAGCTTTTTTAAACACAGCACCATTGTGGAATTTAGCATGTTCTTGTCCCTTCGTATCGGTATCCTCCCATACTTCGTCAGAACAGAGCTCATTTGACTCTATTTGAGTAGGTGCACCAGCTGTTTGATCATCTGTCACAGAAGGGGCTTCTGAGATAGCAGAAGCATGGTTACCAAGAATCACATGTCCCACAGCATTTCTGCACACACTCTCAGTACAGGCTGACTTGGATGCTGTTTCCAAAGATTTCAAAGGACAGATGGGTGATGGCATTGCCTCTACCAAGACACTGCTGTCAGCCTGTTGTGTGGATGAGGCCTCCTCTGCCCCGTCACTAGCTCTGTGACTGGAAGAATTACTGTTCCCCTGAGCAACGCTCAACATTTCCAAGGCAGAAATGGAATGGTTGGAGGCTTCTCTGGATCCCAGAGTAGGTGAAGTGGGCTTGGGGATGCAAACACCCCCCACATCTACTCCAGCAGCAGAGTCATCAAGCGTAGCTGGAGTAAGCTCAGGTTCCAGAGAACCGGCTGGGCACAAAGCTCTCGGGTCTCCTGAGCAAAGTGGCACCTTGGTCATTCTGTCCTCAGGGATTATTCTCCTAGACTCAGCAGCTGGAAAAATAAAGCTGTCCTGTTCAGAAGCAGCAGACCATCTAGCAGTCTGGCCATTTTCAGAGTTAGTGGCAGGAAAAAGCATTTTTCCTTGGTTGTCAGATGAAGAATCATGTACTGTAGGTGACAGCCTAGGCATATTACTGTTTTCCTTCTTGGAAGAAAAATTAATACACCCATCTTCAGAAACAGGTGGAGATTCAGAAATTACGTCTACGTCTTTTTCACTGATGAAAGCAGAATGGTTGGTCAAAGCTCCTCCTCCATATCTCAAGGCAGAATGAGAAACCTCCAGATTTTTTTCTTGCGACTTAGAAATATAAGAGGAAAGTTCAAAGACGCAATCTTTACACTCAGAAGGAAAAAAAGCAACCTCAGTCATGCCAGTCTTGTCAATTTTAGAAGCAGGAGTATGATTGTCTGTCCTGTCAATGGTGATTAAAGGGCAAGGCGCAGGCTTTGCTGCGTTATTTTCTGTGAGTATAGCTAATGCCTTGGCAGGAAAGTCTTGAACAGCTTCAAGGGAAACAGGACCACAGTTGTGGACAGAAATAGAGTTTTCTGAGAGGCTCATCTCTACAGGCTCAAAGGATTTGTTCTTCTCATATTCAAGATCAGGATGAGAAAGTGTCTCTCTCTCATCTTTTAAACTGACTTCTCTTTTCCCTATATTTTTGGACTTGCAACTAGGATGAAGGGAAGCTGAGGAACAGCCTCCAGTTTCAAAAGACGACTCATTAGTTACAGAGAGAGGTACTGTCAGCTTATCCAAGTTAGATTTCACACTTTCACATCCATGTATGCACGACGATACATTGGCAAAGTTTTCCACTGCAACCTCAGATAAAACCTTCATTGTTTCCACAGCCTTAGCTTCTGGACAAGGTAAACCAGTCTGCTGTGTGGCAGCATCCTTAGAATTCTCCACATGGATTAATTGGTGATCATTTTGTACTTGCACTGGTTTCCCTAACTCACTCAGTTCTTCATTACAAGTCCCCCTGTCCATGACAACATCTTCATCATTTTTAATAGATGACACTGAAGTACTTAGATTACCTGTGGCTATGCATTTTTCTCTTTTGGACTCCATGTTAAGTAGAGTGGGTATTTGTTCATTAAAAGGTAAAAGAACAGTAGCAAGAAAGTTCTGTGGATTTTGCTCTTTTTCTACAGCTGCCACAATTTTCTGTGTATCACTTTTTCTTGGATCACGATTTTTATCTGCACCACCTATATGCTGATCTGCTTGCTGCTGAAATGTAGTGGTACTGGAACAAAGCATCTGGACATCCAGTGTTAGCTCTGAGTGACTATCCATTTGACGATTACAGCAAAATTCTCCCTTACTCACCTGTAATTTTCCATTAACTGTCTTACTTTTTGATTTGGGTGAATGTAAACAATCATCCTGTGTTTCTTTTGTGGACTCCTTATTAGCTATTTTACTACAATCATTTTCTTTATCGAAGTTAGACGTGGCATTTTTGTCTGCTTGAAACAGAGCTTCTGCTTCTCCCAGCAGTCCATCTTCTCTTCCAACCAAGTTGTCTGCAGAACTCATTTTAAGGGAACTGGTAATCTGGGAAGTGGAATTGGTTAGGAACTCACTGTTTCTACTACTAGATGACAATAATGAATCTAGTGAATATGTCCTTTTAACTTTTGTTGCAGCTAAAGCAGGCATATGTCTTAAGTCTATCTCATGAGATGATTCAGTAGATGAAGTTGTGGCCTTTGCAGTTATTTCATGTTTACTGCTACCCAAGCAATGCTGAGCTTTACCAGACTTTTTCCTTCCCATTTTAACTGCAGAAGACTTTACTATGGCATCATCTTTGTGATCTTTACCCTCATCATCTCCATTTTCTTTCATCAAGTGTCCTGATTTTGGAGAGACAGTTGTTTGAATTTCTCCATTTTCTTTGACCACTGAAGCATTTCTGTTCTCAGTACTTTCTTCTCCTCTTTCATTCATTTCTGACTGATTCTTCAGTAGCTGCCTAATCCTTGCAGAACCTCGATATGTTGCATAAGTGACTGCAGGTGCTTCTGGCTTCCGTTGCATTTGCCTGTAAAAAGGATCATCATTATCAGCACAAGACTATCTAAATAGCTAGTGTGGTAATAAAGGTTAACACAAACTGTAGATGATGTACAATACTGTTTTCCTCCACAGGTTAGCACACGCTGTAGATTGCATGCAACGCCCTTTTCCTCCTTTTTCTGCTCTTCCTAAATATGGGTTTGCGTGACTAATGATACCTACACTACCTTTTACTAAAAAAGCAAACTTAAACTATAAGCAAAAAGTAGATTTTGCTGTGAACAACTTCCATCATTTCCTTTCTACTAGACAATGGCATTACTATTTACAAATGCCACCATACAAATCAACATTTGCAGTGACAGAAATAAACATACTGTTGTGAAGATGTTATATCCTACTAAAGCAGGCCTACAGTTTAAAACTGAAAAAAAAAAAAATTACTGTACTAATGTTCATTAAAGTACTGAATTGAAATTTAAATTTTTACTCAAACTCTCAACATATTGGTATGGAACAGGAGAAGCAAAACATGTGGAGAAAAGAAAGTATACAACAGGGGATGCTTTCTGAACCACAGGGTAGTAATGAAAGAGAATGAACAGAGATCAGGTAAGAATGAAGACTGCTTGAATGCTGGAAGAAATATCAAAATGAGAAGACTAGAAATGTGACATGGAATTGGTAGATCTAGCCACTCATTAGTCTTAAATTTAGTAGCAAAAAAAGTGAATGCAAAAACTAACAAATGAAAGAATCACCATGGAAAAACTGTGATCCTGATCCTTCACTGCTCTTTCTGATAATACTAAGGATAAATTTGGACCCTGTCACTTTCAATTCTCTGAAGAAGCAGTTTTTCTTCTTTCTTAAAACAAACAGACATCACAAATACTCACCTTTCTTTCTAATGCTTCTCCCCTTCCCCCCCATTTTTTTGTCGTTAAAGAATTCTTGCAAAAATCAGGCAGTGACAATATGAATGTGACTGTCAGCTTTTCCATTCTTCACCTTAGGACAAAGCAGATGCTCAAGACTGTGCTTAAACTCCATTCTGCCTCAGCCTCCATCTAAACTAAGAATAAACCCCTTCAAACTCTTATCCAGTCTGATCCTATATCTGCTAACCCAGTGGCTAGAAGTGGCTATTCACCTGTCTGGGAAATTGTCATACTCCTTTCAGAAGAGTCTCGGGGGCGGGGGGAAGGTGTTAGCTCAGATTTTGATTTCTAATATAAAAGCATTGCAATAGGTAAAAAAATAACTTAATAACATTTTAAAAAGCTCTTTGCAGCTTACCATTAGTTCACAAGTGAGAAATAGAACACCAATTTACTAAGGAAAACAAAACAGCAAAATAATTTTGTTTATTTGAGTATCATTGAGTAACTGTAACTTCAAATATTGTCTGTCTGGATTCTGAGTATGTAGTCTAACGACAGGTATAGAAGAATATAAAAATGGAGTGGATTTACCAATCTAAAATAGAATCTCTTCTCTGTCAAGGTTTTAGAGGCCTAGATTCTTACTTCAATATTAATTTTCTTTTGAAGAGGGAACTTAATAATATTTAAAATCACAAGTAAACTCCCTCCTTGTGCAGTATTTGGACATGCAAAGAGTACAAGTGAACTAAAAGTGAAATTATTCATATCCATATACATTAAAACAGTGTCATAAACAGTCATTTATATGCATGCTTTGTATCACCAGGTGTATTTAGGCTAATGCCAAAATACATGAATACGGGAATTTAGACACTGTGAGAACTTGAAAATGAAGTTTGTACTGGGATTAAATTCATTGTAACCTCTGATGAAGGCTACAGCAGAATCTCAGCAGAGTGTTTATTAGCCGGGTATATTAAGTTATAGAGGAAACAGGAAAGTCATGTATAAATAGCATGTCTCCCAAACGTTTGCAAAGTTAGATGCCTACATTTAGTCTTCTATACCACTAGTTTCATTTTCAGAGATACCAACAGTGGTAGCTGCTAAACACACAAACCATTTGCTAAAGTTGCTGTCTTCAGCATTCACACCTCTTCAAAGAGACATACACATTTCTCTAAGAGAGAAAACAAAACACAGTTGGAAAAAGGGTAGTAGAGAAAAAAATTATTAATTTTTGTTTTGCTTAAAAAAAGATAATTACATTATTTTCCATTTCCTCACAGAAAACTTTCTTCTACATTAGAAAACATTTTCCAAAGCTCCAGAGGTCTTAAAAATCTCAGGGGAAGGATCTGTTGAGTTCTATAGTACACTGTATTTACTCAGAATCAGTCATACCCATAATAAAATTAAGTTTTAAGAACGTAAGACCTGATCACACTCTTATTCAAAACTATCCTTACTGAGTAACCTCTCCTATTTCAGTTCATTCAGAATGGGGTCAAAATACTTTAAATAATCACTATTAAGCTTCTACAAAATCCACCAGCTCTCCCATACTTTGGCCAACCTCAAAAATAAAAGTTGGTCTACAGCCATCCTGAATCCAGATAAAATTTTGTTCAAGAAAACAAACAGAACACAGATTGGCACCAATTCTCCAAACAAGTTTTATGGATTCTTGAAAAGGAAAACTGTAATGATACATGTTTAAAGTGAGCACATCAATTGTATTGCAAGGTACCAAACACTCATGTCCACCAAACCCAAGGCATTATTTTTAATAAATGTCTCTATGACAATTAACTTTTACTGAGTGTCTTTCATTTCATGGTCAATTTTTGTCTGATATGGAGTGGGAAGAATTCGGAATTTATCTATAAATATGTGGTGAGAACTAGTGCTCTGACACAAACCTGGAAAATGTCCTTCTGTTTGTCTCCTAAACCCAACTTTGCCTTCAAATTTCTCTGCTGAACTCAGCAATTCTTAAACCCAAAGCATCCAGAAATGGCACGAATAGGTTAATTTTACAAGAAGATTGCCTACACAGGGATGACAACAAGAATGCAGCATGATGGGCTACTATATCTACATTGATCTGAGCCACAGATCCCAACAAATAGTTGTACCATTTATTACACATAGTCAGGCACAACAAACGTACTCAGAAGTTTCTTTTTGCTTATGTGGCACCCTTTATTATTTGTCCCAATTCTTTTTGCTCTCTGTTTGTCTTCTGAGAGAATTTTACGCTCTGATTGATCAATCTGAAGTCTGAGCAAGGCTCAAAGCAACCTGCCCTATGGTGTTCTGTGCACAAATCCAATCCTGACTAGCACTGGCTATAGCACTGCTTGAGCGGTGGATCCTCATCATGTAGTTGGCCTCTGCCAGTGTCTCCTAACACACAGTTCTGCTTTCCTGCAGGCTTGTCGCTACCAAGAGTTTCTGCAGTGGATGCTATTTTAAAAGAGAACCAACGTCTCCTCTACAGACATAGCAACTTCAGGACCTCTGACCTTTGATAAAAAATTTGCTGCTCAGCATATTATAAAAATGTTGCCAGCAGACCTTTTAGTCCTAATGCATTTACTTTTACGAGCACACAGAAGCGTGTTCAATCTGAACGCTCACATGCAACAAGACATTTAAAAAATGAAAACCCATGTTCCTATGCAGCAGCAGCAAGTCAACTATAAGTCTTAGGAAACACATTTAGAAGCAGGCAGTGTCAGAGCAAATCTTTTGAAAGTGTCACTAGAGACTTGTTTCATAGACATTTAAAGTAACAATTCATTTCTGATCACCAATATGTCAGTTCAGAACATACCTTAAAAACTCTTTGCAAAATTTTTTTTTCTACTCTCATGAGGATATAGATGAAAGCCTGATTATACACAGAACCCAGTGTGTATTCTGTCACATATTTCAAATACTGGGAGATTCCTTCTTTCCCTTCTTCAGAGGAAGCTATTCAATTCCCTATAAAGCCTTAATTCAGTTTCACAAAAGACTGCTTGACAGCAACAAGAGAGGATGTCAACATGAGTTACATTAAATTTGTCAAAAGTAGGTGCTTGTAGAGATTTATTCTATTCTGAAACAGAAATAAAAAGTTCAAGGGGGGCTAACTCAAGGAGGAGAGGGGAACATCTTCTGACATCTCATATGACAGACATCTTGTGTAACCTGCCCCAAAAGTGGCATTAGTTATAAAACAATCTTGTTGGTTTTGAAGCCCCGAAGCAGGAGGAAACCTACTACCTTGAATACCTCATCTCACTACATCCATAAAGACTACACTGTTTGCACCTTTTTCAAGTGTATGTCATCAAGATGGTGACCCCTCCAATCTTCATATTTGTACCATACCATAACGCAGAAAGCAGAAAACCCTAGCCTATTTTCAAAAAGATGGAGGAAGATCATACAGCATGATACAGCACTACATGGGTACAGCATCTCAGATCCCCGGGCAGCACAGCTTCATTTGCACAGCATGGCATCCACACTAGAAAACCCTTACAACCAGCATCACTGCTTAGCTCCAGGCTCGCTAGCTAAGGCTCAGCAGTGCCGAAGCGCAAGCATATTGCTGTCCGGCCTGTTTCTGCAGCATGCAACACTTGGCTCTCCCAAGACATGCATTGGCCATTTTTACCTCATACCTCACTCTTCCAGATATTTTCTCCCCAGCCCAGCAGGCTCCTGCTTTGTCAAGCATACATGTGCATGTTTCCCTCAATCTCCTCTCACAGATCCCTCAGAAGTAGCTCCCAGAGCAGAGATCTGCAGGCTACAGGCTGAAAACCGCTGATCTAAATCAGTATGTCTCCTGTGGATCCTGTCTACTCCTCCCGACTATTTTAAAATTATGCTATTATTTATTTTAATTTTTTTCCACTTAGCTTTTATTCTACTGCATACTTAACTGACAACTTTTTCATTTTTATAAAATTATGTTAAGGTCCTTTGTCTGGAAACAACTGTTTTAAAGTCACTTTGAAAAACCTTCTGGTGGAATCCAACTTACTCAGCCAGCTGGTTTCTACACTCATGTCAGATCTTCATGAATGGAAAAAATAAAAGCCTTATTGAAAGAGAGACACTGCGGGCTAACTGAAAAGTT